TATATATACACACATACATATTTGGCTGGAGAGAGAGCTCAGCAGGTAAGAGCACTTTCTGTTTTTCCAGAGGACCCAAGTTGGGCAGCTCACAACCACGACCTGTAACTCTAGCTCCAGGGGATCCAATTCCTCTAGTAGCCTCCACAGGCACCTGCACCTATGTGGCACACACAAACAATGAAAAATAAACCTTTAAAATAATAAATCTTTAGAGAAAAAAAGAACGTATTTTAGATCCTTGTACATCCCAGGCCGATTGTCACTTCTCCACTTACTGCCTTATTCCTGGTGTCCGACCCCTTGACACCATACATTTGCTATCTCACTGTATAGCCCAAGCTGTTCTTCAACTCTTAATCTTTTTGCCTCAGCCTCCCTAGTGCTGGGATTACAGGCATGCACCAGCACACACAGCTTGCACATCCCTGCTTCTGTGAGTGCCAACCTGATGGAATGAATGCCTGGATCAGTAGCAGCAAGGTGATGGGAGTCCTGGGAATCATGAAGCTGTTCTTCAAAGGTCTGAGATTGGAGCTGGATGTGGTGGTACAGGTCTGTAATCCTAGCACATGGGAGACAGAGCAGGAGGATGAAGAGTTCAAAGCTAGCCTGTGGGGGCTAGAGAGATGGCTCGGCAATTAAGAGCACTGGTTGCTCTTACAGATCACCTGGGTTCAATTCCCAGCATCCTCATGGCAGCTAACAACTGTCTATAATTCCAATTCCAGGGGAATCCAACGCCCTCTTCTGACCTCCACAGGGATTGTGCAATATGGGTGCACTTACATATATGAAGGCAATACGCTCATACACATAAAATAAAAATAAAATATTAAAAAATAAATCTGAGCTTGACAAGAGAAAAAATTGTCAGGAAAGCAATCACCTCAAATAGTGATTCTTTTTCAAGCAAATCTCCCAGTTGGGAGCTTGTTGAAATGTGGATTTTGATGCAGTAGCTGCAGATGGGCCAAGATTCTGACACTCTAACAGCCCCGAGCCACACTGCATGCTGAGGAGACTGCACATTGAGAACACAGGCTTCAATGACATGACACAGAAAGCATTGGCAGGCTCCTGCCTTCTTGAAGTCTCTGTAACATTGTGACTCCACGTGCAGGTTGAGAGGTCTTCTCAGCATGGATTTGAGACCAAGCACCTAGGTCTTAGCTGAATGCTGTAGAATGAAGAAATGATCAGAGACAATATTGTAGCTTTTGTGGGAGGGGCTTCAATCCCAGGGCTTCACACGTACTTGGCAAGCACTCTACCACTGTAGGTTTTTCATGTACCAAATCAAACATAGATTGGTAGCTTCCATTTATTCACATTTACTGGCACACTTTTAAAATGTATAATATAAAGAAATGCTATACTGTATGGAAAGGATATAATTAAATGTTGTTTTTCTTCTTTGAAACATGGTCTCCCTGTCACCACAGGTGGCCTGGAACTCACTATGTAGACCAAGCTGGCCTCAATCTCAGGATCTGCCTACCTCCACCTCTGGAGTACTGGGACTAAAGGCACGTGCCACCATATCTAGCAGGAATAATTAAAAGTTTTAGCAGCAACACTCAGCTTTATTAAAGTTACTGTTTTCCTCATTCAACTTTTAAAATAAGAAAATACTCAGGACTAAGTGCAGCCACATGTCTCTTCCTGTCTGTTCTCATTCCATCTCTTCCATCAAAGGGGAGCCACCATCCTGAACATGCTGTCTATTCATTCCCCCTGCACATGTGCTCTGAACGCCTTCTACATGCAGTGCCCAAGTCTAGAAACTAGAGACGCAACTGCAGCAGGCTAGAAAATATCTGCATGAGCTTACATTTATTGAGGAGACTAACAAACAGATAAATCGTGCTCTTTGCAAGTTATTGGGCTTTGTATAAATGACATCATAAAGTACATATCCTTCTTCAACTTGCTTTATTCACTCAAGCTTTTTAATTTTTTGTGTATGAGTGTTATGCCTGTGTGCAAAGTGCACCTGTGTCATGCAGTGCCTGCAGAGGCCAGCAGAGGGCATCAGATCCCCTGAAACCTGAGTTAAGGATGGCTGTTAACCACCATGTGGGTGCTGGGAACCAAAGCTGGGTGCTCAGCAAGAGCAGCCAGTGCTGTTAAACACTAAGCCATCTCTCCAGACCCTCGTCAGTCAACATTTTTCGACATTAATGCACCTCCCTCCAATTACTCTGTGTGTGTGTGTGTGCGTGTGTGTGTGTGTGTGTGTGTGTGTGTGTGTGTGTGAGAGAGAGAGAGAGAGAGAGAAGGCGATTGTAAGCACATGCACTTCCCCTGAGCCATATACCTCCACCCAATCCATTTGGCCTTTGGCTGCTTTGTAGCATTCCAGCACTTTGCCATTACATATATATGTGTGTCTGTCTGTAGGTTCTGCCACTGTTAAACATTTTCTGTTTTTATAATTATAAACAACGATGATAATCTTTTTCATGTATCTTTGTGCATATGTGTAAAGTTTCTGCAGGGTATATATTTAGAACAAGAATTCCAGGATTCAGAGTTCATACTTTTCAACTGTGAGATCTAGCTGAATCACTCTCCGCATAGATCATGCCAGTTTACACTGCCACCGTCAGTAATGAAGATTTTACACATCCAGGGCCAGCAAGATGGCTCAGTGGTTAAAGGTGCTTGCTGCCAAGCTTTAATACCAGAGTTCAGTCCCCAGAACCCATGTAGTAGAAGAAGAAAACAGGATCCTGGCCTCCATGTGTGCCATGGTGAACACACACCCACACACGTGCACACACAATAGATACATACACATATAAGAAAATTCTTTTTAACTCCACACATCCTTTCCTTCTCGGAGTTGCTGGTGTTTACGCTTCATGCTTGTTCCTTAGCACTCAATGTAATTAGAATTGGTGTCTTCAATCTAACTCCAGGTGGGGCCGCAGAGCACAGCTTTGAAGACACAGTGCCTCTGTAACCACTTGACCTTCTTTAGCGCCGATTTCTTCATTGTGCCAAGGACAGTGCGTGTGGAAGACACAATCAAGCTGTTTCTTCATGTGACCAACAACCCTGTTGGGGTGTCGTTGCTGGCCAGCCTTTTAGGACTTTATGTCATCTTAGTCATGTGGGCTTGGAGGAAGGATCAAGCAGATGAGCAGAAGGTAAAAGACTTGGATTCCAAAGGCTTTGCCATAGTGTCTTGAGTAGGTTCAGTAAGATGAGGGAGCTCCCCGTTACCAAAAGAAGCGGGGCGCGTGGGCCTAGGGAGCAGAGAAACTCCAGGGGGATCTGTTGCTGTTTTGAGACAGAGTCTCATTATGCAACTCCGATGGTGTAGAACTCATTATGTAGTCCAGGCTGGCCTCGAACTCAGAGATCCATCTGCCTCTACCTCCCCAGTGCTAGGATTAAATGTGTATGCCACCACGCCCAGCCTTAAGTGGGGTTTTATTAAATTTCTCTTCATATCCACTATCTCAAGACATAAGAACTTTTTATTTTCTGTTTTGTTTGGGGGGGGGGATTTGTTTTGTTTTGTTTTTCTCCCAGGTTTTGGATCTTCACAGGAGTCTTTTAGGTTAGAAATGAACCAAACGAAAACTCCTATAGAACGTAACTGAAATCAGAGTCAAGTTTATCTCACTTTACACACTAGACACAAAAGTTATATATAAGTCAAATTATAATTTGACATAATTGCAATATGAAGGAAACCAGTAAATAATTCTTTTGAGGGGGGTTGCTTGAGATGGCTCAACAGGTAAAGGCACTTGCTGTCAAGCTTGACAGTCCAAGTTTGATCCCTGAAACACACAAGAAGAAAGGAGAGAATAGTAAGTTGTCCTCTGACCTCCATTTGTGTGCCATGCATGCACAGGGTGCACCTCCCCTGCAATAAATAAATTTAAGTTTTTAAAAATTATTTTGTGTCTTAAAATAACACTTCACATCTTTGCCCAGCTAACCTAGAATATACCATGTAGCCCAGGCTGGCTTTGAGCTTCCTCAGCTTCTCAAGTACCGAAATTATGGTTCTGAGCCACCACACCTGGCTAGGAATTATTTTTAACAAAGTAGAATTCTTTGGCAGGTTTTCCCTTATTTCTAATTTATATAGTTCTTATTTTTGTGTTATTTCTTCAGGGCCTTCTACATGCTGGGAAAGGGCTGTACCATTGAGCTACACTATAGCTTCTTGTTTTTCATACTTGAATGTTCTAGAGGGGAAGAGATTCCATTTCTTTATTGTTCTGAGTGAAAGGTTGCCAGCATCAGTAAATAAAAATACAACAGTTTAATTTTCATCTCAAATAACCAGTAAGAGCACTGTCAACTTCAGTTTCGCTGGGTGTCTTCTATGTTATGTGCGACCTGTGAGGGAGGTGGAGGGATATGGAGGTCCGAGGCTCAGTCTGTGGATGCCTCATTTTAGAGACAGAAGGCTGGAGTCCCAGGCATTACCCTGCTGTCACTTGGCTGGCCTGTTTGCTTTTCTGCTAACAGTGCCTCCCCTGCTTCCCCTGGGGTTCCAGTGCTGGTGCCCAGCAGCCTGTCATTAGCTGGGGGCTATACTGAGTGGACACCTGGTAAGCTCATTGCTTCTGCTTTTCCTACAGGTGAAGGTCACTGTCCTGGCTGATAATGACCCCAGTTCTCAATTCCACTACGTTGTGCAGGTCTATACTGGATATCGAAGACAAGCTGCTACCACAGCTAAGGTTAATGGAACCTACGTTTATTACCATGTGTCTTCAACCAGGAGCCACACTTTAATTTGCATGTCTTGGTGTCCAATAGTGCTTTAAATGGGATCAAAGGGATTGGAATTTCTGGGTATATAATAAGAACAACCCTCTGGATTTGTCCAATATTCCAGTAGTTTCTCTTCCTTAGGAATAGCCCCAGAAGATGGAGTTATAATGTCTTACATTTCTCCTTCCTTGTCACATCTTAGGTTGTTATCACCCTCTATGGCTCAGAGGGACATAGTGAGCCCCATCACCTTTGGGACCCACAGAAGATGGTCTTTGAACGTGGGGCACTGGATGTCTTCCTTCTTTCCACTAGGTCCTCTCTGGGGGAGCTGCATGGCCTTCGGCTATGGCACGACAATTCAGGAGGCAGCCCTGCTTGGTAGGACCTGCCTTGGGCTAGCATTTTTCTTCTTTAAAAAATTTTTTGACATTTATTTATGTATTTATTTATTTATTGTGTGTGTGTGTGTGTGTGTGTGTGTGTGTGTGTGTGTATGCATGATTGGACTGCACATATGGAGGTCAGAGGACAGCTTGTGGGAGTCACTTCTCTCCTTCCACCATCGGGGTTCCAGAACTCAAACTCACATCGTCAGATTTGGTGGCAAGTGCCTTTACCCACTGAGCCACCTCGCCAGCCCTTGTTCCTTCTTTGTAGTTAGTGGTATCCTAGAGAGAGATCAGTATGTCATCACCATAAACAATAATGCTGCCAGCCAAATCACAGTGACTACTAGATGTATGTCTTTAAGCTGAAAGAAATATGAAAAACAATAGAGTTTGGAGATGACATGGTGAATGAGTCTTTTCTCTCATGTGTATTGTCATAGTTGTGAGCAGCAAATCGTGACAATGATAGTGAAATGCTGATTGAAAAGGCGATGCGAGTTTTTTTCTTTTTTCTTTTTTAGCTAGCCCTCATGTAACCCAGGCTGGCCTTGAATTTGTTACGTAGTTGAGGAGAACCTTGAACTTCTGATCCTAGTGTTTCCATCTCACAAGTGCTAGGATGTCAGACCTGTGCCATCATATCCAGTTTATACAGTGCAGGGCATTGAACCCAAGGCCTGTGTATGCTAGGCAGTTTCCCTGCCAACTGAGCTACATTTCCAGCTGTTACAGTGTTTATAAATAGGAAAAATATCTCTAAAGTATAAATGTAATAAACAACTATCCACTGAATTTATTGGAGTCTAATCTAAGAGTCTGAGAAGGGAATTCCCATGCAGGACATTCCCAGGAAGTTAGATAGGTGGCCATGACAGAGCACGTGAACTCGGCATGTGCTATGTCCACCTGATTCTGAATCAGAGTAAGAGTTATCCTCTGAACTCTACACAGGTGCATGGCATGCACATGCACACACAACAATTTTTTTTTAAGATTAAAGAAGGGCTGAAGCTGCTCTTGCAGAAGACGCAGGTTTGGTTCCCAGAACCCACATGGCAGCTAACAATCATCCATAACGCCAGTTCCAGGGGATGTAACTCTCTCTTCTGGTATCTGCAGGTACTGTACACATGTGGTGTACTTACACACATGCAGGCAAACGCACATTCACATAAAACAAAAATAAATATTTTTCAAAAGATTTTTTAAAAGAAAGCAGATGACAAAGTGTATTAAGGATGAAGATACTGGATTCTCGGGTTTTAGAATAAAGAAGGGAATGGAGCCGGGCGTGGTGCGCACGCCTTTAATCCCAGAACTCGGGAGGCAGAGGCAGGCGGATCCCTGTGAGTTCAAGGCCAGCCTGGTCTACATAGTGAGTTCCAGGACAGCTGGGGCTACAGGGACACCCTGTCTCAAAAAGACAAAAAAAAGAAGGGAATGGACAGGAGTCAAGGCTCTAGTCCCAGTGATACCCTATCATCTCAGTATAAAGAAAGGAGGGAAGGAGATGGAAGGAAAGGAAGAAAAAGGGAAAGGAGTGAAAGGTCTAAGGCTCTGGAACTGAAGGGATCAGTTGTTGAATGTTCCCTACCTGAAAAGACCATGTAGTCTGCCTAAGTTGATTATCAAAATGAGATGTTTCCTTCTAAGCTGACAAACTAGGCCAGAGAGACTAATAAATTCCATGAAGCATCTTTTGCATTCAGTTATCTATAAAACTACTTATGTTCTGCAATCCTGGGTGTTAATCTATAAAGGTGAATAATGTGCAATGTGTGCTTGAAAATGTTCAAATCATTAGTCATCAGGAAATGCAAACCAAAACCACAGCAAATCCAGGCCTGGTGGCACAGATATTTGGAAGTCTGAGACAAGAGGATCCCAAGCTCGAGGCCTGCCTAGACTATATAGCAAGTTCAAGGCCAGCCTGGGAAATTTAGTGAGACCATTTGTCAAAGTAAAGAGTAGAAAAGAGAAACAGTGCTGGTGGTGTATCTCAGTGGCAGAGCCCTTGTCTGGCATGTGTGAGGTCCTGTGTTTAATCCCCAAAACTCCCCTCCCATCCTTCCAATTGAAAAAAACAACACAGCAGCCCTGTTCACCTACCAGAATGAGTAGAAATAAGATGTTGGAACCAGATGGTGTGGTACACACCTGTAATCCCAGCACTTGGAGGAAGAGACAGGAGGATCAGACGCTCCAAGCCAGCCTGTGCTATATGAGATATTTTAAAAACTTTGAGGTGCTGAAGAGATGTCTCAGCTGTTAAGACTGTTTGCTGCTCTTCCATACTGGGCAGCTCACAACTGCCTGTAACTCTAGCTCCAGGGGATCTTACAACTTTTTCTGACCTCCTCAGGTACAAAGACACAGACATAACACAGACACACAAATGAAAATATTTTTTTTAATCTTTTTGAGACAGGGTCTCCCTGTAGCCCCAGATGGCCTGGAACTCGCTATATAGACCAGGCTGGCCTTGAAATCATAGAGCTCTGCCTGCCTCTGCCTCCTGAGTGCCGGGATTACAGGCATGTGCCACCACATCCAGCTAAAAATAAATATTTAAAAAGACTTACTTCACGTAACAATGCTTTCTTTCCAGTTCTATTTATTTTCCTGCAGTCGGTGTCTTAGTACTGTTACCTGTTGCTATGATAAAATGCCCTCACAAAAGCAACTTAAAGGAGAAAGGGTTTATTTGGCTCAGTGTTCCATGTTACAGTCCATCAGTACAGGGAAGTCAAGGTGATAGGAACTTGACACAGCTGGTCACGACCAAAAGCAGAGAGCACTGAATTAGTGTACCATGCTGGTGTTCAGCTCTTATACAGTCCAGGATCCCCTGCCCAGGGAATGATGCCTCCCACAGTGGGCAGGTCTTCCCACTAATCAAAATAATCCCCCAAAGGCCAACCTGATCCAGTCTGTCATTAAGACTCCCTTCCCAAGTGATTCTAGATTGTGTCAAATTGACAAAACTAACCATCAAAGTCATGATTTCATTTTCTCTATGGACTACATATTTCATTGTGTATATGTACCACATTTTCTTTATGCATTAATCTATTGATGGACACTTCAGCTGCCTCCCACCTCCCCCTTTTTTTAAGACAGAGCCTCACTGTGTGTGCTGGCCTGGAACTCACTCTGTAGATCAAGCTGTCTCCACTCATAGAGATCTGCCTGCCTCTGCCTCCTGAATGCTAGGATTAAAGACATGTGCCACTACACCCAGCCACTTCCAACATTTCTATCCCCCACCTCTTCACCAAATCTCAGTTTTGTTTTTGTTTTTGGTCTTTTTGAGACAGGGTCTCCCTGTAGCCCCAGCTGTCCTGGAACTCACTATGTAGACCAGGCTGGCCTTGAATTCACAGAGATCCACCTGCCTCTACCTCCCAAGTGCTGGGATTAAAGGCGTGCGCCACCACGCCCGGCCAAATCTGTTTCAACACTGAATTGTTCTTCCAGGTTGCTGACTCTTTTCATCCCTCTTCCTGATTTTCTCATTAATTCTGACTTTTCTCCTGGGCCTAGATTGAATTCCTGTGCTTGTAAATCTCTTTCAGGTCATTGATCATTTTTACTAAAAAGCGTTTGATACTCTGTCATCTTATCCATGTCAGTTTCTTCGAGTGCAGTAGCTGAGGAGGCACGGTCTTCTTGGAGGAGTCATGTTGCCTGGCTTTCTCATGTTTCTTGAATTTCTTTGTTATGACTTGTTCATCTGTTGGTCTGGATATCTCTTCTGGATTTTAGTACGAGGTGGTCTTATTGCATAATCTACTTTTGAAGACTTGTTGAGCAATACCACTTGGCAAAGAAAGGAAGTGGCTGACTCATCCGTTCCCCTGGCCAGGGAACTGGACACCTGGGACTGTTTGGATTTTCTGTGTCTTGTGTGAGAATTTGTTTTATTTATTTTTATTTTATGTATGTGAGTGTATTGCCTGCATGTATGTAAGTGTACCCATGTTGTGCAATGCCTGCAGAGGCCAGAATAAAGCATCAGATCCTCCTGGAACTGGAATTAGAGGTAGTTGTTAGCCACCATATCGGCTAACACACCCCAGTCTTCTGCAAGAGCAGCTAGTGCTCTTAACTGCTGTCTCTCCAGCCCATGTGTGAGAATTTCTTAAAGTTTTGTATCAATCAATTCTTCCTTTTATAAAAGTTCTCTTCGTGAGATTCAATATTGTTTGATAGCATTTTATCCACAGAAGATCTGGAGAGACCAGATTGGAACAAGTCATCTCAAATCCTCCTGCTACTCTTTCAATTAAATGTATGTAATATTCTAAATCCTTTATTGTTTTGTGACAATGTTCACAGCATCTTTTTCAGGACTAGATTCCACCTAAGAAAGCACTTTCTTTGCTAAACCATAAGAAGCAGCATCTCATCAGATCCACTGTACTGAGATGACAGCAGTTCAGTCACAGCTATGTTTATGATTCGCTCCCCTGCTTCTTCTGCCACATCTGCAGTTCCTTCTCCCGTGACGCCTCAGGCCCCTCCAAGTCATCCATTCAGGATGGAACCAACTTCTTCCAAATTCCTGTTCACATTGATATTTTGATCTTTCCCCATGAATCACGAATGTTCTTAACAGTGAGTTCTAGACTACTGAGTCCTTTCCAGAAGGGTTCTAATTTAGTTTGTCCAGCTCCAACAGAGAGTCATGATGGACGTTATAGCTTTAAAATGTATTTTTTTTATTTTCTGTGTATGAGTGTTTTCCCTGTACATATGTAAGTGCTCCATGTGTCTGAAATGCCCACAGAAGCCAGAAGAGAGCACTGGATCTCCTGGAATGGTTGTTAACCACCATATGGGTTCTGGGAACCAAACTAGGATTGTCTTCAAGAGCAGCAGGTGCAATCTGGCAATCTCTCCAGCCCCCGAAAAGTATATTTCCTAGGACTTGGTAGTGAAATGACTGACTCTATCCATGGGCTGCAGAATGGGTGATGGGTTAGCCAGCATGAAAACAGCACTAATGTTGTGCATCTCTGTCAAAGATTGTAGGGGACCAGGTGCATCATCAGTGACTGTTGGAGAAGGGATCTTGCTCTGAGCAGTAGTTCTCAACAGTGAGCTCAAAATATTCTCTACCCTGTTGTAAATACATGTGCTGTCATCGAGGCCTTGCTGACCCATCTACAGAGCACAGGCAGAATAGATTTAATATTATTCCCAAGGACCTTAAATTGTCAGGCTGGTAAGTTAGCGTTGCTGCAACTTCAGGTCACCAGCTGTTATTAACCCCAGAGTCAGCTGTCCTTTGCCACTGACATTTCCTCTCTAGTTATGAAGGTCCAAGGTGGCCTCTCATCCACACTGACAGCCTGTTGAGTGTAGCCATCATGCCTTGTCACTTTCTGGAGCAGCTTCTCTCCATAAACTATACAAGCCAGTCTCTGCTAGCCTCAGCCTTTTCTGTTGCTTCCTGACCTTTTCTCGGCCTTCAGAGGTTTGACAAGAGTCTTGCTCTGGATCAGGCCTTAGGGAATGTTGTGGCTGATCTGATGTTCTGACCAGAATACTAAAACTTTCTCCATTATCAACATTAAGACTGTTCTGCTTTCTTACCATTCATGTGTGCATTAGAGTAGTGCTCTTAATTTTCTTCAAGACTTTTCCTTTGTGTCCGTACCTTGCTTACCAGGAGGACCTGTCTTGGCTCCTGACAGGCCTTCCTCACTATGCTTAATCATTCCTAGTGCTTGATTTAAAGTAAGGGTATATAAAACTCTTCCTTTCACTTGAATGCTTAGAAGCCATTGTAGGGTAACTCTTTGGCATAATTTCAATATTTTAATATTGTGCTCAGGGAGTATGGAGCTCCAAAGAGATGGAGAGAGGTGGGGGAGTGGCTAGTCAGTGGAGCAGTCAGAACACACACATTTACTGATTTCCTGCACCGAGTTATATGTAGGTATAGTTTATGGCATACCAGAACAATTAAGGAAAAACAAAAATCATCACTATAAGTCTATATCAGGCCTATGAAAAGTGCTGGCTGATGTCCTGTATGTGACCACTTTTGCTACACTTCTATAATTTAGATATAAATTAAGGATAAAGCACTGTAGTTGACAGGCTGCAGAGGTGGCTCAGTGGCTAAAGTGCTTGCCCTGCAAGCATGCGGGCCTGAGTTCGAATCCCCAGAACCAACATAAGCCCAGTGCAGTAATGCACAACTGTCACCCCAGCACTCCTACAGCAACAGGGAGTAGAGACAGAATCCCTGGAAATGTGCAGGCCAACTGCCCTGGTGTATGCGGCAGTGAGCTAGAGACCCTGTCTCAAACGAGATGGAAGGAAACTCCTGACACCAAGGCTGTTTTCTGATTTCCACATGCACATTATAGCACACACACAAATGTAGTTGGGAAGAGGACCAAATCTGAGAGCCTAGAGCTCTGATGTGGCTACAGACCCAGATGGGGCAAGAAGTGAATAGTATAAGCCAGCTGTGGTGGCACACATCTTTAATCCCAGCACTCAGGAGGTAGAGGCAGGTGGATCTCTGTGAGTTCAAGGCCAGCCTGGTCTACATAGCAAGTTCCAGGTCAGGTGGGGCTACAGGGAGACCCTGTCTCAAAAAGACCAAAAAAACAAAAAGAGAAGCAATTAGTAATAAATGTTGAAAACCAAATCCCATGTATGCCCCACAGTGGTGAAAGATAGGGGCACGTAGGATAGTTTAAGAGGTAATAGAGCATTATCACACATGGAAGACAGGTAGTTTTAAAATATATGCACACACTGACCTCCTCTTAGGTGGTAAACATTTGCAATCTGATGTCTTGGACATGAATTTCCTCAGAGGCTATAACATGCAGGTGGGATTGGCTTTCCTTTCTTCTTGCCTTGCGAGTATAATAATCTACTCACTTGGGTGGGTGCAGTATTACTTCTACACAGCAAGCCACTCACACACCTGCGTAACATGATCTTTATCTTACTATAGGTATGTAAGCCAGGTGATCGTCAGTGACATGGCTGCGAAGAGGAAATGGCATTTCCTGTGCAGCTGTTGGCTGGCCACAGACCTAGGAGACTGTGAGCGTGATGTGGTCTTCAGGCCAGCCTCAAGGAAAGAGCTCTCTTCCTTTAGGTAAAACTGAGAAATTGCTTAGTAGTGAGCACTGATGTGCCTCTTAGAAGAATATACTTCATCAACTTTTCTGATTCATGATATTGGACTCTTCTTGGACTTCCCTCCTTGGACCAAAATGAGTGGCTAAAAGAGGGAGGCTTTTGTGAAAGAGGCAAGGCTGTTGTGGGGCTGGAGAGATGCTCAGCAGTTAGAGCATTTGTTTCTCTGGCAGATGATCTGGGTTCAGTTCCGGGCACCCACATGGTGGCTAACAAGCATCCTTAATTTCAGTGCCAGGGAATCCAGTGCCCTCTTCTGACCTCCGAGGGTATTGCACAACACAAGTGCACTTACAAACATGCAGGCAATGCATTTATACACATAAAATAGAAATAATAAATACAACTAAATTTGAAAAGAAGCAAGGGTGTGTACTGATATAAAATACCTAGAAGTTGAAAAAAGGTGGTGCTTAATCTCTCCTCCAAAATACGTCCTTTTTCTCCCCTGTTTGGTGGAGTCCTGAGACTTTGAGAACAGAACCACTCTAGTTCTGTGGCTACATTAAGAAATTATTTCTCCCTGACATGGCATTAATCCCAGCCTTTAATCCCAGCACTTGGGAGGCAGAGGCAGGCAGATCTCTGTGAGTTCAAGGCCAGCCTGGTCTACATAGTTCCAGGACAGTTGGACCCTGTCTCAAAAAGACCAAAAAATAAACAACTGTTACATGAGCATACATTTTTAAATTTTTATTTATTTTATGTGTATGAGTATCTTGCCTGCCTGGTAAGTGCACCCATGCGTGCAATGCATGTGGAGGCAGAAGAGGGCATCAGATCCCCTGGAACTGGAGTTAATGCTACGTGGTTGTTAGATGCTATGTGGGTACTGAGAACGGGACCCGAGTCCTCTACAAGAGCAGTAAGTACTCTTAACCACTGAGCCATCTCTCCAGCTCTGAGCATAAATTTTATGTTTTATAGTGTACACTGCCCTGGAACTCAGAGATTCACCTGCTTCTGCCTCCTGCTATGGAATTTAAAGGCATGCACCATGGTGCCTGGTTTATTGTTTGTTTTTCCTTTTTTTTTTTTTTTCGTCTTGAGACAGGGTCTCCTATAGTCCCAGCTGACCTGAACTCACTCTGTAGACCAGGCTGGCCTTGAACTCACAGAGATCCGCCTGCCTCTGCCTCCCGAGTGCTGGGACTATAGGCGTGCACCACCACACCCGGCTTTTTCTTTCTTTTTTTAAAAAATATTTTATTTTTATTTTACGCGTATTCATGTACTGCCTGCATGTAGGTAAGTGCACCCGTGTTGTGCAATGCCCGTGGAGGTCAGAAGAGACTGTCGGATCCCCTGGAACTGGAGTTACAGACAGTTGTTAGCTGCCATGTGGGTGCTGGGATTCAAACCTGGGTCTTCTGCAAGAACAGTCAGTGTTCTTAACTGCTGAGCCATCTCTCCAGCCCTGTTTCTTTTTTCTAAAGACAGAGTCTCACTGATGTGTCTATTGTTGCTTGTATGCCTAGTGATTTCTCTGACTCTGTAGTCTTTTTTTTTTCTTTGTCAAGGGTAGCAACTAAAGCATTAGCACCATTAGCAGAGTGTTTAGCTGAAAATTAAGGAGATTTCCTGGGGCTGGAGAGGTGGCTCAGTGGTTAAGAGCACTGACTGCTCTTGCAGAGGACTGAGATTTGATTCCCAGCACCTGTATGGCAGCTAACAGTCATCTGCAACTCCAGTTCCAGGGGCACTCTGACATTCTCTTCTGACTTCCTTAGGCATTGCCCAACATGGGTGCACTTACGCATATGCAGGCTATATACTCATATACACAAAATAAAAATAATAAGACATTTTTTTAAAACCCAGAAATTTCCTGAAATTCCTGGAACCAATTAGTCTCCCAGCCTTTACTGAGCTCTGTGAGCACACTAGGACATGCTTTCAACACCTAGGAAGGCCGTCAATAACTATCTCTGAGCCTTCCTGCTTCCCAAGAGTCTTGTGGTCATCCAGGAGTGAAAGTTAGAACTGTGTTGGATTTTCCTGAGCATTCACACAGCCTCACATATGCATGTGGCCTTAGAAGGAATGTGTCAGAGCCTTTCAAAACTCCTCTGGAATTCTTGGTCAGGTGTGGTAGTGTAGGCCTTTAATCCTAGCACTTGGGAGGCAGAGGAAGGTAGATCTCTGTGAGTTCAAAGCCAGCCTGGTCTATATAGTGAGTTCCAGGCCAGCTGGGGGTACAGGGAGACTGTCTCAAAAAGACCAAAATAAAAAGATCTAATTTTTCATCATATTTCTTGTTTTAGACACCTGTTTTCTTCCATGATTGTAGAAAAGTTCACCCAGGACTACCTGTGGCTTTCAGTTGCAACTCGACATCCCTGGAACCAGTTTACAAGAGTCCAGAGGCTCACCTGCTGTATGACGCTGCTTCTCTGCGACATGGTCATCAATGTCATGTTCTGGAAGATGGGTGGCACCCCTGCGAAGAGGGGTAGGCAAAGTACGGACAGGCCCCAATGGGTGCTGTCATCTCAGTCTTCCCTCCTCGTTTCCGGTCAGCAGAGTCGTGGCGTGTCTCCTTTCCCTGCACTGTCCAGTAGGCTACTCTAGCATGTTCACGGCTCTTCTTGACAAATAAAGCAGCCTTAAGAACACACCAGGATCTCTATAGCCATGAAACATTTTTTAAATATTTTATTTTTATTATCCTTATGTGTATGAGTGTATTGCCTGCATGTGTGTAAATGCACCATGTCATACAATGCCCACGGAGGTCAGAAGAGAATGTTGGATTCCCCTGGAACTGTAACAGATGGTTGTTAGTCACCATGTGGGTGCTGGGAATTGAACCCAGGTCCTCTGAAAGAGCTGCTGGTGTTATTAACTGTTGAGCCGTCTCTTCAGCCCCAACATTTTCTATCTCTAGATAAATTCCTAAATAGAGTCACAAGCCTGGAATGACTGTGATGGTCTTAATGGCTGAGGATGAAGGTTGACGTCGTGCTTTTCTTTCAGAGGATCCATTTACTGTGACCTGGTCAGAGCTGTTCATCAGCGTCCAGACTGCTGCCATCCTCTTCCCTATCCATCTTGTCATTGGGCGGCTCTTCCCATTGAGTCAACCACAGGAAATACTGCCCCCACTTCCTCCCATCCAGGCCTCTTGCCCTTTAAGTGTTGCTTGTGAGCCTCCCTCTCTAACAAAAGTGGTTGAGGTAAGCTTGGTACTGGGTTTTTTACATGTAAGGTGCCCTCCCCCTTCCAGTGTAGTAGAAAAGAGCCATGGAAAGGACTTCTCGGGAAGCTCAGGGGGTCCTGTCCCCTTTAATGTCCTTCCCCTAATTTCTGACCCCTGAGTTGATTAGTAATACCCTGGCTTTCTCCTGAGGTTATGAACTATTCCAGGGACTGATAATGGGGCAGTATGTACTACTCTGGAGCTGTTTTGGTTTTTGATGTTTGAGCAAACGGTCCCTCCTTTCAATCTGTAGTTTCTCATAAAATGGTCGTGAAGGCACTGTGAGGTGACTCCTCTCTGAGAAATTAGAGAGAAAATGAGGTAGTCAGGCTCTCTACACCAAGCATGTGCCCCTGAATAATGAAACAGTCTGGCCATCTGTAATTGCTCCCAGTGCTTGGCTAATGTAAAACAGACTGACTTCTCTCAACTTGGCTCTGTATTCAGGAATTAAAGGAAACTGTGGGATTCTTGCTCAGAAGAAATACACATCTACTCTCAGAGTATGAACTATCTTCATGGAGTTCTTGTGACACTAACAAGCTGGTGAAGCTTTTATCCAGCCTCATTTATTCTCACGTAGAAGATCGAGGCTGTTACCGGCTGGCAGGATCCCACTGGGCGAATGGTAAAGTCCAGTAGATTTTAGTGATTGATCCACCCTCTGCCTCCACTCCCGTGCATGCCTTTCATGTTATTCACTTTTACCTTTCAGCATAAGCAACAAGCATAATGTCATGTATGCTTCCTTTAATCTCCTTAAGCTTTTGATGTAGAGCTGATAGCTTTGTTCTCTGTGTTGACTTTTAGACAGTTTGGTGATAAAACTACAGTACTGATTGTAAAATTACAAAAATATTCTCTGTGATCCTCATATTTCCTCAGCTAAAACTTGCCAATTTTTTCTTCTGTGGGACCAAGAGGTTGCATGATTTATGGATTCTTGCATGCACTTTGGGTCTCTGGGCACTTGCTATATAGGTTTCATGTGCTGAAGTTCTGGTGGAAGATCAGTGAGGTTTTAAAATTTTATAGCTCAAAGTTTAGAATTTTACAGTTGTCACAAATTCATCAGCATCTTCAGAGAAATGAAGAGTGTAACAGTGTCAGGACCTGTCTCCCTCAGCACTGGGAAATTTTAGCTTTACTCATAAATTGCTAATCTCTATCACTGACTGCTATTTATTGAAATCTCCCACTTGCGAATGTATCAACTTAAACTAAATCCACAGAGGTTTCTGAAAACCATCGTCACTTCTGCCGCTACTTACTCCAAGTGCTGCAGAGATTGAAATCTCACTTAGATGTGCTAGGTCTTGCCCGGGTCCACCAGTCCTGTGACTTCTTAGAAGCAGCCAGTCATCTTCAAAACCTCCAGAAACTCCTGGAGGCACAGATTCTTTCCAGAGAGCAAGGGCCAAGCAGGTAAGGCACTGTGAGCTCTGTCACTACCTGCAAACTTTCTGACCCTCTCTTAGTCTTGAGTACAGATTATTTCTTCAATTTTTATTCTTCAGGGACACAACCAGTTTCCCCATCCTGAGCCCAGAAGAAGGGAAGAAGCTCGAGTCTGTTTACCTGTTCACGTGGTTGACTTCTACCTGCTGGCTCCTCCTAGGTGTCATTAGCCTGGCTTCAGCTTTTTTTATAGCACTTTATACCTTGGAATTGAGCAAAGACCAAGCCACCAGCTGGGTTGTTTCAATGATGTTATCAGTGCTTCAAGACATCTTCATCAGCCAGCCAATGAAGGTATATGAGGAAAGGGAGGGACCATTATGATTGGAGAAACTGAGACCCGTAGGTGCAAAGCCAGGTGTGTTGACAGTTTAATAGTAAGTCAATAGACAGTGACATTTGTGAGGTATATATGTGAAGTAACAACAGCGAAACAAAACCAAACATTGGGGTTGATGGGATGGCTCAGCAGATAAAGGTACTTTCTGCCTGATAACATAAGCCTAATGATCTGGGCTCAATCTCTAGAACCTACATAAAGGTTCGATTCCCAACACCCACATGGCGGCTAACTAACGTCCATAACTCCAGTTCCAGGGAACCCAATGCCTTATTTTGACCTCCTTGGGCATTGCACTACATGGGTGCACTTATACACATGCAGGCAATACACTCATACACATAAAATAAAAATAATAAAATATTTTTAAAAAGCATAATGAATCTCAAGTACTGTTACCCAGTATCAACAATTAGCAACTGATGGCCAATCCTGGGTTTTTTTGTTTGTTTTTTTTTTAATCTATTTTGAAAAGAAAATTCCAAACTTCACATCATTTTATCCATAAGTATTTGTATACATGGCTCTAAAAGTTAGATTCTTTTTAAAATATAAACCATTACAACACCTAAATTAAAATTTTCTTTTTTAATATTTATGTGTATGAGTATATTGCCCGCATGTGTGTAAGTGTATCTGTGCTGCGCGGTGCCTGCAGAGGTCAGAAGAAGGCATTGGATCCCCTGAAACTGGATTTACAGATAGTTTTTAGCCGCCATGTGGGTGCTGGGAATCAAACCCGGGTCCTCTGTAAGAGCAGTCTGTGCTCTTAACTGCTGAGCCATCTCTCCAGCCTCAACAATTTATCATCAAAATATTCACACAAGGAGTTGGCAAGATGGCTCAGCAGGTAAAGGCACTTTCCACCAAGCCTGACGACCTGAATTTGATCTCCAGAGTCCGCATAGTAAGACAGAATGGATTCTTGCAAGCTGTCCTGACCTACACACAGACACATACACAACATATATAAATGTACTGTTTGATACTTGCCCTCTCCTCTATACATGATGTCATCTTCTGGGAGCTTACAATGCTTGCTCATTGAGTTTCCCATGATTCTCCTCTCCAGGTGATCTTCCTCACATTCTTCTTCTCAGTGATGATGAATCAAGTACCACAGCTTAACAAAGACAAGGAACAACAAACCAAGAGAATTGTGGCACTTTGGGGTAATTCAAATTATTCCAACTGCTGTCTAATCTTGCAAGGAGCAAATGATACAAAAACAGTAGAATTCCAGCCACCTCCCTGATTCAGATTTATCCATTCAGAGATCTTGTTGTCTCTACTCAGCTCATTGACTGCTCCTCCTCTGTGTGTCACAAGCTCATGCAAGCCTCTGAAAGCCATCCCATCCCCTCAGCACTTGGAGTCCCCTGTATTCTAACTCTCCTTCATCTCTCCTCCTTCTGAGCCCCAGATGGCATTTTGCTTGCCATCTGTTTCTGAATGCCTTCAGTGACAGAACTGTTTATCTGCCCCACAAATCTACTTTTCTCTTTTCTCATTTCATCAAGTCCATCATGTGCTCTGCACACATCAGAATAATCCTAAAACTTCTACTTCCCCACATTCAGTCACTAAGCCTGAGGGAACCCCTTCTCTAAAACACTGACCATCTCTCATATCACCCAGAGGAACATCATAAACACAACACTGGGCCAAAATTGCAAGTTGCAGAGACGTTAGCACAGAATTTTACTATGTGAAATCGTGCACGTCTTGACTAGAAGATACGTGTGTGTGTCCTCCATAAATGAATCTATGACGTGAAAACGATGGGCGTGATCTCCAAGACTCAGGAAAGGGTCGCCCCTCTCAGGGAGGCTAGCGATCACTTGCCTAAACTGAGCAGTAGATGTGCTAAGGGGTGAGTACTCCTTAATTTGTGAGATTTTTTAAATTAATAATCTCACTTGAAAGTGCTTTTCTTGCCCTTATTTCATTTCTTATGCATTTTGAACTGCTTTGTCTAAAGCCTCGCCCTTACCCATCTGAAGAACTATGACTCACCCTTCTAGACAAATGTTGGCCTGGGGTATATTGGTAGACTGCTAGCCTGGCATATACGAGGTCCTGGGTGTGATCCCCAGCACTGAAAAAGAAAGTCAAACATCGCTTCTTCTGTGAAGCCCTCGCCAGCCTTCTTTGGAGGAGAGCTGTTTATTCTTCAGTGATCACGTGTCATTTGGCACATATATGCCGGCAAGTTCTCTGTCATTTTCTTTCTCTCCCAGTCTTTCCCTCTCTCTCCTTCCCTCTTGTTACTTGTCTCCACATTCTTCTCTTCAGCACAGTCTTTAGACCAGCAGCAGCATCTCCTGAAATTTTCAGAAATGTAGGTTGAGCCTCATCCCAGAATCTGCATCTTAATAGAAATCCAGATGATTTCTACCCACATTAACACAGCCTGGGAATAGTGTTCCCCAAGTGTCCTCTACTGACAAGAACCACTGGACTTCAGTCCAGGACAAGTACGGAAATAGTCAGTACTTAGAAGCATACAGCTAGCTATGCCTATTGAACCTAATTGTCAAAATAGAAGGGCTGGGGGTATACTCAATGGAAGAGCACTTGTTTGGTGTGCATAAGGCCCTGGGTTGGATCCCTAACATCAAAAAAAAAAAAAAAAATCCTTATTCAGCAGGTTGTGTAATCTCAGCATGTAAGAGACTGAGGCAGGAAGATCACAAGTCACAATTGTGAGCCAGCCTGGGTTACATAAAGAGATCCTGGAAGGGATCAAGGGAGGGATGAAAGGGGGAGGGAAAGGGAACACACTGTACAAGCTGCACTTCCAGCCCCAAGTGTGTGTTTTACAAGTTTGCATTTAATTTCCTTTTTCTACGAATGGATTATTTTTTTAATTTAAGTTTTGGTTCACAATGGATTGGAATTTTTTTTGTTTTGGTCTTTTTGAGACAGGGTCTCCCTGTAGCCCCAGCTGTCCTGGAACTCACTATGTATACCAGGCTGGCCTTGAACTCACAGAGTTCCACCTGCCTCTGCCTCCTGAGTGCTGGGATTAAAGGCGTGCGCCACCACGCCCTGCTGGATTGGAATTTTTAAAAAGACCCACCAGCCCCTTTTCTAGATAGCTGGGAAAGGCCACCTCGGCAGAAGATGCTCAACAAATGGTAAACAATGAAATGTAATGTTTCTTTGGCTCATATTTCAATTTCTTACAGCAAAATGTTCTTCACTGTTACCCAGTGTGAGAGACGAGAACAACCCCATCTATAGAGCCCCAGCTATGACTAGTCCAGCCAAGCGCCCAGAGAGAGAGTGGAAAAAGAACCTGCTCAAGCTGACCGGAGATGTGCTGGGTATGAAGGCACAGCGGCAGCATGCACCCTGCACCACACACCCCCGCAGCCCACCGACATGGAGGGAAAGGGGTCGTGAGAACAGGATAGACAACAGGGAAGGCACAGTGTCTTTTTGAAAAAAATATTTTATGTATATGAGTGTATTGCCTGCATGTAAGTGCATCCATGTCGTCTAATGCCCTCGGGTCAGAAGGGGTCAGATTTTCCTGAAACTGGAGTTACAGATGGTTGTTAGTTGCCATGTGGGTACTGGGACTCAAATCTGGGTCCTCTGCAAGAGCAGCCGGTGCTCCTCACCACTGAGCCATCTCTCCAGCCCTGAAAAGTGTCTTTTGAAATGGAATTTGGAATTCCAATGATCCAGGTTATATGATCAGTGGAAAGACGCCTGAACTTCAAGTCCTCAGTTCATTGTGACCTTAAAAAGGTCACAGTCTCCAATTGCAAAATGCAAAATGCCTGATTTACATACTTTCTAAATTCTGGGTGGGTGACTGGTTTCAACATATGTCGTATCCTATTGGAGTCCCCAGACCAAAGACCAGAAAAGAACAATTCTGGGTTTAATGCCTTCCCTTCTTGTGAACATTGTCAAGAGAAGTCAGAATGAGAAAAAAACATTCAGTTCTGGAAACTAAAATTCAATGCTTTTATGAGGGATGTTATGTATCGCGAGTTAAATTCTGATTATTGGTAGGTAGGATAATTCTAGAAAGGAAATAGATATGTATATACATGTTTATTTCTATGTATATATGTATACATATGTATAAAGTTTAACAGCTTAAAATTTCCCATTTTCACTGTTTTTTACCTGCAAAAGTCTATAGGTATAGGAAAAATGAAAAAAGTAAAAAAGTTTAGATATCTAAGTTAAGTACTCAAATATGGTCCTTTTTTTATTTTTTTGGTCTTTTTGACAGGGTCTCCCTATATCCCCAGCTGGCCTGGAAAACTCCATGTAGACCAGGCTGGCCTTGAACTCTCAGAGATCCACCTGCCTCTGCCTCCCAGTGCTGGGCTCAAAGGTGTGGGACACCACGCCTGGCTCAAGTATGTTCTTTTGTTGTTCTAAACTAGTACAAACCCTCTTCCTGGTCCTACTGATGACTACAATCTACTCTGCAAAGAACTCCAATCAGTTTTTCCTCCATCAAGCCATCTGGAAGAGTTTTTCTCACCATTTCTCAGAAATCAAGCTTCTTGAGGATTTCTATCCCTGGGCCAACCACACCCTTCTTCCTAACCTATATGGGGATTACAGAGGTAAGGACGTGGTCCAGGGACAGCTAGTCCTCCTGACCCTACCATGGCCCAAAAGGAACTGGCTTTTGAGAAAGGTCAGCTGGCTTTTCATTATGGCCGCAACTCTGTGAACACTACAAAGGGCTTATTCAATTCATGCAGAAGGTTCAGTTAATGACAGTTCACTCATGGTGATCAGGCCTTAGGCTGAGTCCCACTGGTGGATGTCACAAGAAGTTAAGGATGAGGACTGAGTCATTTTCAGCATGAATAGTAACTGCAGTTGACTCCTGAGACTCAGCCACACCGCTGAGCAGTCAGGGATGTGATCATCACATGAGATTTTGGCAGTACATGCTCTTTTTCTCAGCTCTGTGACTCCATCTCTGTAAGTGTGTGGTTCTCCAGTTCAGTCCACAAACACACATTGAACAACATGTACAGTGTGCAGGGGCCTTCAGGAGGAGCTGACAAGATGGACAAAATGAGGCCTGTGCCCTAAATCTCACCACAAGAGGAGTTCCTGAGGTTTGCCCTGAAGCGAGCTGAAGTGCTTAAAATGTTCTTCCCTAAGGACCGCTTGCTTGCTGCTGTTCACGGGTTACCCACACTTTCCATTATATAACTCTGTATCTTGTTAAGGAAGCTAAAATCTGGAAATCGTTACTTTATCTCAGGGTTGGTGTCTTCATGATGAGATTTAGGACATCCCCTATGATCCTGAAAAGAATCTGAAACACAGAATCATCTTAGCAAACGTTTTCAGTTGTTTCTAAAAGATTGATTTTACTTTTTTATTTGTGTGTGTTTGTTTCTATGTGAGTGTATGTTCATGTGTGTATGCAGATACCTGTGGAGGCCAGAAGAGGTCATTGGATTCCTTGGAGCTAGAATTATAAGCATTTGTGAGCCACCTGATGTGTGTGCTGGGAACTTTGGTCCTTATGATAGAGCAGCAGGTGCTCTTAACTGCTGAGCCATCTCTCTCTCCAGCACCCACATTTTCAGTTTCATTATTTTTTTATGTGCATGAGTGTTATGCCTGCGTGTGTGTAAGTGCACCCGAGTTATGCAGTGCCCACAGAGGACAGAAGAGGGCATCAGATCCCCTGGAACTGGAGTTATGGAGGATTGTTAGCTACCATGTGGGTGCTGGGAATCAAACCTGGGTCTTCTACAAGAACAACCAGTACTCCTAACCGCTGAGTCATTTCTCTAGCCCCACATTTTCAGTTTTTTTTGAAGGTGTGCTTGGTGTGTAAAAGTTATTACAGGGAGGTGGATCCTCTGTGGGTTCAAGGCCAGCCTGGTCTACAGAGTGAGTTCCAGGCAGCTGGAGCCACAGGAAGACCCTGTCTAAAAAAAAAGAAAAGAGCCCATAAAGTTATTACAGGGGCTGGAGGGATGGCTCAGCAGTTAAGAGCACTGGCTGCCCTTGCAGGCCACCCAGGCTCAGTTCCCAGCATCCCAGCGGCTAACAACTGTCTCTAACTCCAGTTCCGGGGGGAACCAATGCTATCTACTGGCCTTTTTGGACACTGCATATCATGGTAGCACTTACACACATGCAAGCAAAACACTCGTACACATAAATTACAAATACAGTTTTAAAAAGCAAGTTCTTATAGATGATAACTCCTAATCAATGTATGTTGATTTTTTCCCCTTAGTTCAATTTTAGATGATGAGTTTTAGGTTCCAGGTACATTCTACTTGCAATATGTAACTGCTAGATAAAATACTAACAAAATCAAAGTTATTAGAACTTGAGGCAGCAAAAGTTGAGAGGGCTACATTCGTTCTTGGTTCCAATATTACCATCGTTATCTAAAGAGCAAACTGAGCACCAGACTTCCCAGATTCATACACCACTACCAGCAGTGTGATCTTGGGCAAATTTCTCAGCCTTATCTTCCCCCCATACAATGGGGAGACTCCTAGGACCTACCCCATATGACAGATGTGAAGATTGAAATGTCAGTAGATCTGAGTGCTCAGAACATTGTCTGCACACAGTACCGGAGTGTGGAGCTAAGCTAACAATCTAGAACTATGGAATTGATATAAGTAGTGCACAGAAATAGGAAACCTTATGATGAGGATAATAGGCCAGGGGTAGTGTCTGTAATCCCAGCACTATGAGGTAGAGGCAGGATCCTGAGTTTGGGGCCAGCCTGGGCTACAAAGTAAGATTTTGCTTAAAAAAAATAATAAAGTAGGCATGAGAGGTAGTGAAAAGTGGTTAAAATTGACACTAACTCCAGGCATAGGGGCACACGCCTTTAATCTCAGCACTTAAGAGTCAGAGGCAGATGGATCTCTATGAGATCAAGGCCAGCCTGGTCTACATAGTTCCAGGCCAGTTGGGGATACAGGGAGACACTGTCTCAAAAAAAAAAAAAAAAAGGCACTAACATGACTTACCTAATCAACTTTTTAAAAAGTATTTTTTTATTTTGTGTGTGTGGTGGTGTTTTTTGTTTTGTTTGTCTTTTTGAGACAGGGTCCTCCTGTAGCCCCAACTGGCCTGGAACTCACTATATAGACCAGGCTGGCCTCAAATTCACAGAGATCTGCCTGCCTCTGCCTCCTGAGTGCTGGGATTAAAGGCATGCGCCACTACACTTGGCTTTATGTGTTTGATTTGCCTGCATGTATGTATGAACACATACATGCAATGTCTGCAGAGGTCAAAAGAGGCCATTAAACTGGAGTTAGTTGTGGGCAGTTATTAGCTGCCTTGAAAGTCTGGGAACCAAACTCATGTTCTCTGGAAGAGCAGCCAGTGCTCTTAACTACTGAGCCATCTCTCCAGACCCTATATATATTTTTGTTTTTATATGAGTGTTTTACTTATATGTAAATGAAGCCATGCATGCAGTATCCACAAAGGCCAGAAGAAGGTGTCAGATCCCCTGAAACTGGAGTTACAGGCAGCAGGTGTTAGCTACTATGAAGGTTTGGGAACCAAACCCAGGTTTCCTGGAAGAGAAGTCAGTGTTCTTAACTGCTGAGCCATCTCTCCAGCTTAATCAACTTTTAAAATTATTACTTTCGAAACTTATAGCCTAGTCTCATTAGTTCAAATTTTTGCTCAAGCCATTGACCTTTGGCTAAACAGTCATTAACTAAGCCTGCTTAGATAAAGTCCGGGGAATAGATCCTTTGGGAGCCCACAGAGTTGGAGCCCTAAAAGAGCCAGCTGACCTTTCTCCAGTTTCCCACAGGTTACGGGTATTTAGAAAACAAATAGGCTGGACGTGATGGTACATGCTTTTATTCCCAGCACTCAGGAGGCAGAGGCAGGTGGAGCTCTGTGAATTTGTGGCCAACCTAGTCTCCATAGTGAGTTCCAGGCCAGCTGGAGCTACAGGGAGCCCCTGCTTCAAAAAGAAGAAAAAAAAATTATAGTAAATGGTTGGCAAACTCCCAATATTGTCATGAATTTGGCTTTTCCCCCAATTTATCTGGGATTTCCCCATCCGTATATATAACGCTGCCCCTATTATGTTTTATTCACTTATGCAGATTCCATTGCAGATAAATTATTTCCAACCTTCATAATACTAAGACTGTTCTCATTTTAAGTACATCACCTTGTGCTCTGTAAGATAAGTACCTTGGAAAAGACTTGCTAGGTCAAAGTACATATTCATTTTTAATTTTGAAAAGATATTACTAGCTGGGCAGGGTGGTATATGCCTTTAATTCCAGCACTCAGGAGGCAGAGGCAGGTGGATGGAGGCCAGCCTGATCTATATAGTGAGCTCCAGGACAGCTAGGGCTACAAAAAGACCATGTCTCAAAAAGATCCCCTCCCCCCCCAAAAAAGATATTGTTAACTGGGTGTGATGGTGCATGATACTTGTAATCCCAACCCTTGGGAAGTGGAGGCCAGCCTGGGCTACATAGGGAGACTCAAACAAGGGCTGGAGATACAGATTAGTGGTCAATTACTAGCACTGAAAAAAAAATATTGCCAGTTTTAAGTACTCCTATTAATGTACTAGAGTTGGCCCACATCCCCAACATCCCAGTGAAATTGGTGTTTTCATACAATACAAGGGGCTCTGGAAGACAGGAGAATCTTTGCAACTGAAGATTTGAGAGAAATGTAAGAAGTAAACCAAGGTGTCATTTTTCACCTTCATAATAGCAAACCATTCCTCTTTTCCTTTCTTTGTTTTCTCATGTATATATATATATACACATATATACATATTTCAATTTTTAAATTATGGGGGGCTATGTGCATATGAATGCAAGTACCCCCAGAGGCCAGAAGCATCAGATCACCAAGAGCTGGAGTTAGAGTCGGTTGTGAACTGCCCAGCATAGGTGCTGAGATTTGAACTCAGGTCCTCTGCAAGAACAGTATGTGCTCTTAAGTGCTGAGCCATCTTACCACCCCTTCAATTTAAATTTTTAAACCATAAAGCTATGTTAATCTCCTGTTCAAAATCTCCCATTTAGGAGACATTTAGAATAAAATTCCGAATCCATTCCTAAGTTCCTAAGGGCCTGGTCAGTCCAGTTCTTAGCTACATCATCTTTTTCTTCTTCTAACCCTCATCTTCAGTTAGTTAAGGTCCTGGGGCCTGCCTTAAATATAGCAAGTATGCCATCATGGGAACTTGGAACCTGCTGCTCCCTTGGAACCTACATTGCATGTCACACCCTCAGAGAAACTTTCTGTACTCATCTTAACAGCACTTCTTACTCCTCAACACTCTGACCTGCTTATTTTCCCCCCATATCCCTTATCATTGCCTGATTATTGCTTGATTATTGCATGTCCTGCTTGTTCCTCACACATGGGCTCTCCGTGGGCAGGAACTCCCTTGTACCCACTATAGTAACCTGGCACCTAGACTGGAACATGATTTGTGTGAGCACACAGTGCATATTGATTCAAAGAATGAAAGAATGTTGAGGGGCTGGAGAGAAGGCTCAGCAGTTAAGAGCACTGGTTGTTCTTGTAGAAGACCCAGGTTCAAATCCCAGCACCCACATGGTGGCTAACCATCCATAGCTCCAGTTCCAGGGGATCTGATGCCCTCTGCTGATCTCTGCAGGCATTGCACAACAGGGGTGCACTTGTATGCAGGCATGACACTCATACACATAAAAAATAAAAAGAATGAATATCCACAAGAAGAAAAACTATTTTGCCAACTTTTCATTCGACTAAATTGTTTTGCCTTTTGATTTGTAGCTCTTTATGCATTAAAAGCTTATATAACTGTAGAAATAGATTTAAGGAAATAAACTCAGATTAATTTGGGGAATTGATATCTCTAAATGTTTTCAAAATGACTGATGAAAGTATACATGGATGGCCTCATTCAGTTAACAAAAAAGCAATTTTGTTTCTTTCCCCTTATTAGGATTTATTACTGATGGAAACTCCTTTCTTCTGGGCAATGTTTTGCTTCGTCAGATTCGCATTCCTAATGCCATACTCTCCCCAGTGTCTGTCCAAGAACAAGTGAAGCCATATCCCCAACATCAGGAGGATACAGCAAACTATGGGGTTGGCTGGGGCCCCCCTGATCCAAACACCACACAGTCAGACAGCATTTGGCATTATCAGAATCAGGAGTCACTCGGTGGCTCTCCTATCCAAGGGGAATTTGCCGCTTACTCAGGAGGAGGCTATGTTGTGAGACTTGGAAGAAAGTCCAGTACTGCAACCAGGTGAGTGAGCCTGAGCCAGAACAAGGACTGGGATGTTTGCTTCTGGCCACTCAGGACAGCTGGGCATTCAGGACCCATCTGAGTAGTTGCCACAGCTGTCTATGGCACTTAAGAGATACTTTTATTTTAGACTGCTAAGAAAATACACCTTTTAATTTAAATTTTTCTGGTTCAAGTTACAGGTATGTTTTGATCTTGATAATTTCAAAAAAGTATTAATTTGATAAGAGATTTATTTCAATTCTTTCTTAAACACAAATATAAAAGGAAACTATCCTTTTTGAATCCTGATGTATACATTAACTGAAAGTTCAAAGCCAAAATTAAATTGCCAGAGACTTATAGTTTCACACATGAACCCTGAGAACCTTTGTTGTCATGAATGAAGAAGTCTAAATTAAAATTACTGGGGGTTTGCCAGGTGTGGTGGTGCACGCCTTTAATCCCAGCACTTGGGAGGCAGAGGCAGGCAGATCTCTGTGAGTACAAGGCCAGCCAGGTATGCATAGTGAGTTCCAGGCCAGCTGGGGCTACAGGGAAACCCTGTCTCAAAAAGAACTCCCCCCTCCAAAAAATTATTGGGGGTTCAAGAGATGACTTAGGGTTAAGAGTGTGCACTGCTCTTCCAGAGGCCTGGAGTTCAATTCCCAGCATCAACACGGAGCGGCTCACAGCAGCCTGTAACTTCAGCACTGTATTTGTGTGCACAAACCCTTATAGGCACCCACTTACATGCATAATTAAAAATAAAATTGTTTTCTGGGTTGGTGAGATGGCTCAAGTGAGTAAAAGTGCTTTCCATAAAGCCTGATGACCTGAGATTGACCCCTGGAACCACATGGTGGAGCGAGAGAAACCACTCCTCCAAGTTGTCCTGTAACCTCCACACACACACCCTTCCCCATAAATAAATGTAATAAACATCTAAAAATTGTTTTCAAATTTACTTCAGCAAGGAATGACTAAAAAATGAGGTCAAATAATGGCATTTATACTTCTTCCACTTCTCAGTGTTGCATTGCTGTTAGCAATTTTTAATGCTTCAAATAGTGACATCACATGTGAAGCCTGTCTTAATATTCCATGGCAAGCAAGGTTTCCTGAATTTTTAACTCTGGTGTGACCACTATTGTGAACATTCCCATTTCTTATATTCCTGTTAACACTGGGGAGAGTGGATGCTACTAACCAGGGAAGTGTTTTATAGGCACACTAGATTGAGGAATGTGGCTTCTCGTGCATGTGACAGTGCTGGGACACTTTCCTCCCTTACAACACTGAAGTAGCTGGCACATTTCCTTGTTTCCACAGAGTCCTACAGCACCTCCAGCAGACACACTGGCTAGATCATTGCACAAAAGTACTCTTTGTGGAATTTGTTGTCTTCAATGCTAACGTGAACCTGTTCTGTGTTGTGACCCTAATTTTGGAGTCCACTGGTGTAGGTATGAAGGTCTCTTCTCTCCTTTCTCTCTGACCTGGGAGTATCAGGACAAGGCTTATTGATCTTATACCATTGGTTAAGAGCTGATAGCACACACCTTTAGTCCCAGCACTCAGGAGACAGAGGCAGATCTCTGTGAGTTCAAAGCCAGCCTGGTCTACAAAGTGAGTTCCAGACCAGCTGGGGATACAGGTGTCTCAAAAAGACACCATATATATATATAATCTTAAAATGATTATGCTAAAGTATGATTGCCTCTGCCTCCTGAGTACTGGGATCAAAGGTGTGCACCACCATGCCCGGTGTATTATTTTTATTTTATGTGTATGAGTGCATTGTCTGCATGTATGTAAGTACACTCATGTCATGCAATGCCCACAGGTAAGAAGAGGGTGCCAGATGCCCTGAAACTGGAGTTACGGATGGTTGGTTGTTAGTTGCCATGTAGACAGATGCTGGGTACCAAACCCAGGTCTTCGGCAAGAGCAGCCAATGCTCTTAACTGCTGAGCCATCCCTCCAACCCCAGTACTTTAAAATCTTATCTCTATGCTGCTCTAAGTTGAAAAGGGGAACACTTGTATCAGGTGTTCAGCCAATGACATTTGCCTCTAGGCGAGATCAACAATATACATATTTTTTCTCTGCTGAGTTTAGTGACATTTCTCTAGTAGCTTTGCCCACGATTTATTTAATGTTTTGGATAGTTCTACAGGAAATACTAAGAGTGTGGAGACTAAAATGTCTAAAATTGATGCTACAGCAACAGTTGAGGGTTTTTGAAGGGACAAGTTGACAGATGTTTGACTCAGGTGTTTTTTGTTATTCCTAGGGCCCTTCTTCACCTCTCTAAGACTGGACAGTTTAACCTCCCTTCAGATAGCAGAGAGGGGCTTTGCCTGGATTGTCTCACAAGTCATCTACTATCTACTCATCTGCTACTACACGTTCATACAGGTGAACTGCAAATGTTAGGTGTGAGAAGTACGGCTGTAACTACAATTATGGTCCTTTCCAAAGGCCTGAATTCAGAGACTGATGGGTTTTCTAAGTAGAATAGTTTCTTCAATGCTTTCAAGTTAAATAATTGTGTGCTCTTAATACATAGTATTTTGTATAGTTTTGTTACCCCTGTATGAAGTAATGGCAAGAAAGTATGCTGAACAAAAAGTACTCATGATAGGGCTGGGCATGTAACTGTACACATTTAATCCCAGCACTCAGGAGGCAGAGATGGGCTTATCTCTGGTGATTTTGAGGCAGCTAGCCTGGTCTACATAGCAAGTTCCAGGTTAGCGAGTGCTACATGGTGTGACCTTGTTTCAAAGCAAACAAAAGTATTTAAAATAGGAATTATTGCAAAGATAATAAAGCTTATAAAGCCGATGCTTATACTTAACTAGTTCACAGTCTCAAGAGGATTATAACAGATAGTGGTATCGGTGCAGACTTTCCTTAAGCAGCACTTCTGAGTGACTGCAGAGCAGTCCCTGGTGTCCATGGTAGATCAGGTGAGTGCTAGGCTGCATGCTTTGCCTGCAGAAGGCACAAGTATCCCTACTACTTTCTTTGGGACAGCCCTGGCTGATCTCCCACACAGTGGTGGCTGTCCTGCCTTTATTTAGGGTCGCCGGCTGAAACGACAGAGGTGGAGATTCTTCACTAGGAAAAGAAACATTCTGGACACAAGCATAATCCTCATTAGCTTCAACATCTTGGGACTCGACCTGTGGTGTATTTCTCTGCATCATAAAAACATGCTGCGATACCATCATGACCGGGACAGGTGAGCAGGAGCCAGAGTGCGGGGCACACCTCCCTCAAGAGTAAAGTTGCTTGAAAACCACAAGTGTTCTTACATGGTTCCTTCTCTCCCACTACCCCACCAGATCTGTGCTTGTGTGCATCAGAATATAACTTGCACTTATGTCCACAGCAGGAAGAACAATTTACTAAAGCATTTATACTGGCTCTGCTGAAAGGCTCTGCTTTCATAGTGCCCAGACCAAGCCTGTCAATGAAAATGCATTAAAGTTTCAGAGCGAAGGCCTGGAACTGGGCATTACTTCCTACTGTGGCCAATGCGTAACACCTAAGGCAAGACAGATGATCGTCCTTAAAAAAAGAAAGCAGCCAGTCATGGTGGTACATGCCTTTAATCCCAGCACTGGAGAGGCACAAGTGGCTGGATCTCCAGGCCAGCCTGGTCTACATAACCAGGCCCACTGGGGCTCCTGGGAGATCCTGTCTTAACAAAAGGGCAGAGCAGCTTGTTTTCAGGTCAGTCTTCTAACAATCCCTTTCAGACACTTCTGGTCTCTCTTGTGGGGAAGAGCATGTTTCTCAGATCAAGTATTGCCAAGACTAGAACTTTTCCTGAAGCACTATCCCAAGTGGCTTTAGGTTGAACTGTCTACAGTGGGATGGTGGGTCTGTGCAGCCTGAAGGGCTGTGCCTGTGGTGTGGCGCCAAAGTGTTAAGACAGTATATGGGAACTGTGATTGCCAACTGGCTTACTGCAGTAGGGGCTTTCCCAGTAACCACTTGCTATGACACAAAATTATCTTTTACCTGACAAAATCAAACTGCCAAGCAGCATCTCTCACCTCACCTTTTCATTCTGGGTGCTGTGACATCTCACTGGGTAATGTCTGTCAGAGAACAGGATGAGTGTTAGCAGCCAACCAAGCATGGTAACAGCAGTTCTTATTAGGTTAACTCCTTTTAAGAAGAGAGATTTGGGGGTTGGAGAGATGGCTCGGCAGTTAAGAACACTGACTGTTCTTGCAGGAGACCTGGGTTCGAATCCCAGCACCCACATGGCAGCTAACAACTGTAACTCCAGTTCAAGGGATCCTACAGCCTCTTCTGTCCTCCAGAGGCATTGCACAACATGGGTACACTTACATGCCATGCAGGCATAACACTCATACACATAAAATGAAAACAATAAACAAAATATTTTTAAAAAAGATTTGCCCAGCGTGGTGGCATACACCTTTAATCCCAGAGGCAGGCAGATCTCTGTGAGTTCAAGGCCAGCCTGGTCTACAGAAGACCCTGTCTCAAAAAGACCAAAAGGAAAGAGATTCATTTCTGACAGCAGAAGAAAATTAATGGGGGTTCACTTTCCAAGGTTTCTCCAGCACAGCTCCCAGCCAACTAAGGGGACTTTTGCTCATCTTTTTGTTTCAAGGGTCCACACTAGAAAGATCTCTCACCACAGCTGGTGTCTGACATGGCAGGATTTAGGTGCTGCACCCCTGGAGAAACCACCCCAGCAGCTCCTGTTCCCGCTGAGTAACCCTTGCTTTCCTTGGTAACAGATTTGTCAATTTCCATGAGGCCCTGCAAGTGAGCTCTGCTGTCATATACCTCATGGGCTTCCTAGTTCTTTTGGCAACTGTTCAGCTGTGGGATCTGCTTCGACATAACCCCCAGTTCCAGGTCATCAGCAAAACAATGAACAAAGCCTGGGACGAAGTGGTGGGCTTTCTGCTGATCATCCTGATCTTGCTGACCAGCTACGCCATGACTGTAAGCCCCAAGGTCCAGCGTCTTTCCCTAATTACTAGTCTTAAAATCCCATCTGTTCCCCCAGAAAAGGCTACCACACAGAAAATCATCAATCAAATTGGCAGTTTTTAGAAAAAGTCAGATAGGAAAGCTGGGTTTAGTTATGTTCCGAATATAATGGGATTTGTTTGTCTTTTTGAGACATGGTCTCCCTGTAGCCCCAGCTGGCCTGGAACTTGCTATGCAGATCAGGCTGGCCTCAAACTCAGATTCACCTGCTCTGCCTCCCGAGTGCTGGGATTAAGTGTGCTCCACCATGCCCAGCTCCATATATAATGTTTTAAACACAGATGTTTTCCATGTCTCTAAGATACAAAAAAATATTAGATCACGGGAAATATGGAGGTCAGATAAATTTTGTAGTCACAGTAACTTGAATGGCCACAAGAAACTTCCACCACTTTATGTTGTCCACATCAAGCACTCAGGACAGAAAAGCTATCAGGCTCCCACTGACTGGACTTTCTGTTGTTCAGTTCAACCTGCTGTTTGGATGGAGCATCTCTGACTACCAGAGCTTCTTCAGCTCTGCAGTGACTGTTGTTGGCTCCTTGATGGGAATTTCGAACCACAAAGAGGTAAAAAAAAAAAAAAAAAAAAAAAACCTGTTTCCTTTCAGAGTTGTTTGGCTTGACAGCCCTAACAAGGGAGGGATGGAGGGGTATTTAAAAAGTAGTCTCTCCCCGAAAGCACAAAATGGAAACACATCCTCTGACTTGCTTCCAAGAACAATGAACAAATGAACAAAGGCTGGGCAAAGGCGGTAGGTAACACTGCAGACCAGCTACTGCTTTCAGAAGCCTGTCCTAAGTGTCCCCTTCTGGGGCCCTCACTGCCAAAGGACACCTGACCAGATTAACATAAACTGCTGGTGCTTTATCAATGGACTTTGAAACTGTAAAGGAAGTAACACCAAAGCAGTCCTAGGAAGAGCAGTACTAGCTCTGTTTACAGGTTGGAGTGGTCTCGGTCCCCACACCTGTGTAACTACCCACATAAACCCGTCTTCCTATGTAACGTAAAAGATAAGTTCCTTGGCACAAAAAAACCTTGTATATCAATTAAAACATTAAGCAACTATCAAAATATTACATGGTACCAGTCACATAAGTACAATGTTCCTGACAATTTAAAGTGAGGGAGGAACTTCATTAGGAATCTCATAAGGAATTGGGTCCCAACACTGAGGGGTGTGTTTAGTCAGGAAAAAAAATAGGGGGCTGGACAGATGGCTCAGAGGTTAAGAGCTGCCTACTCTTGCAGAGTACCCAGGTTCAATTCCCAGCACGCCCATGGCGTCTAACAACCATCTGTAACTCCAGTTCCATATCTGATGCCTCCAGGGGATGCCTCCTTCTGACCTCCTGAGGCATTGCATGACCCAGGTGCACTTACATACATGCAGGCAATACACTCATACACATAAATTAAAAAATAGTGAAACTGGCAAAATTCCCTGATTAATCATTCTTTTGATCTACCATTCAAAGGCTACTAATTAAGTAGGTAAATTAGTTTTCTTCCCAAGAAAAAACTGCTATTTTGTTGTGGTTCTTGCTAGGGGACAGCATTTAAACTAATCACCCTGTGAGTTACTGGTTAACAGTGCCTACTAACAGTTAATGGGCTAATACAGGTGTGATCACCATTTGTAAAAAGAACACCTTAAAAAGATAGTTATAGCTGGGTGTGGTGGTGCATGCCTTTAATCCCAGCACTCGGGAGGCAGAGGCAGGCAGATCTGTGAGTTCAAGGCCAGCCTGGTCTCCGCAGTGAATCCAGGCCAGCTAGGGCTACAGGGAGACCCTGTCTCAAAAAAGACCAAAAAAAAGAAAAGATACAGAAACCATCCCAGTAAGACCTGATCTCTTTATGCAAAAAAGTAAAAAAGGACTTAACTGAGTGCTTGAACCTTTAAGAGAAGACAGTGCTAGGAGGAAGCATATTAAAGAGAGTTCCCCCGACTGGGAATTTAACCAAAGCCTTGCTCAGGCTTGGCCCCAGCCCAAAGCCTGTCTCCGAGTAACCTTTGACTGGAAAACTCCCGTCTTCAGAGAAGCTTCTCAAATGGTAGGTAAGTTTCGTGATCTCTTCTGGTATGCATTTATTTCCACGTACATGTTAACACATGAGGCTTTTTTTTTTCTTTTGGTCTTTTTGAGACAGGGTCTCCCTGTAGTCCCAGCGGTCCTGGAACTATGTAGACCAGGCTGGCCTTGAACTTACAGAGATCCGCCTGCCTCTGCCTCCCAAGTGCTGGGATTAAAGGCGTGTGCCACCATGCCCGGCCAAGGCTTTTTTTTATTTCTTTTTTTATGTGTTGTGCCTGTATGTAGGTAAGTGCACCGTGTCCTACAATGCCCGAGGAGGACAGAAGAGGCTGTCAGAATTATAGTTGTTAGGTGCCATGTGGGTGCTCGGATTCAAACCTGGGTATTCTGCAAGAACAGTGTTCTTAACTGTTGAGTCATCTGTCCAGCCCAACCCTTGAGGCTTTTGTTTGGACATAGTTCTTCAGAATTGCCCAAACTCACCTGGAATTTAAGTTATTTACAATTCTACAACTTACCTGTTTTCCTGTGAAATCAAATTTGAACAGCCCTAGTCATTCATGCTTATGTCACTCAAGAGTACTTTCCTCTGAAATGTCCTTTTGCCTTTCTCCCTAGTCTCCACCAGATGGACATTTGCTTATAGACAGACCCCAGGTGTTGGCACAGTTTGTAAAGCTGCAACTCTTGAGGTCTTCCTGTCTTCCCAGGTTATTTCTTTACACCCAGTCCTGGGCTTCTTTCTGATCCTCACCAGTGTCATCTTGATGGGACTTGTCATTATTAATCTCTTTGTTTCTGCCATTCTCATTGCCTTTGGAGAAGAAAGAAAGTCCCTTAAGGTAAGTACTTGTGGCTGAGTAACTAAACTGTCATGATTTCATATAAATAGAAAAGCTTAACTGCTTTAAGAATACAGCCGGGGGGACTGGAGAAATGGCTCAGCGATTAAGGAGCAGTGGCTGCTCTTACAGAGGACCTGGGTTCGATTCCTAGCACCCACATGACACCTAACAACCTTCCATAACTCCAGTTCCAGGGGATTCAACAGCCTCTTCTGACCTCCGTGGGCACTGCATAAAAGTAGTGCACCTAACACACTGCAGGCAAAGCCTTTAAACACATAAAAAAGGGAAGGAAAAAAAGATTGCAGCCAGGCATGGTGGCACACACCTAGCACTTGAAAGACAGAGTTGGAAGACCAATCAGGGTTACAGAGTAAGACCCAATGAGATCAACAATCAGCAGAATGCAGTCAGCAGATTTCCATCAGTAGTCAACATTTCTGCCAAGCTATTTTCCTAGGAAACCAATGTGCAAGACATGCTCTGTAACCACTATAACCATAAATAAATAGCTGGTCCTTGACCATCTAGAAGAAACACTTCCCAACATTTGATAGTAAATCATTTAAAAAGATTTAGTATTACCAGGCATGGTGGCACACACCTTTAATCCCAGCATTTTGGGAGGCAGAAGCAGGCAGCTCTTTGTGAGTTGAAGGTCAGCCTGGTCTACATAGCAAGTTGTCTCAAAGAGAAAAAAAAATTTTTTAGTATATTATTATATATATTTATGGGGGGGTAGCTTTGGTACTTGCAGCCAAAATTTTGATTTGCTGACCTTTCTTTTTCTCTTCAAATACTCAGAAAGAAGCTGCACTAACAGACATGTTACTACAGAAGCTCTCAAGTTTGTTAGCGATCCGCCAGCACAACCCTTCAGCCGAGAAGCAGAACAACAGGTACTGTTGATGTCTTAGATAAGCTATCTTAATCTTGTTAGTTTACTACATTTGAGCATATGATTGCTAATTTGTATGGCATGATAGAAATACAACAGCACTTTTTGCAGGCAGGTCTCTGGTAGACAGAAACCAGCCTGGTTTGTATAGCAAGTTTCAGGACAGCTGGGGCTACAGGGAGACCCTGTCTCAAAAAAACAACAAAAAAGAATAGAGCATAAATCAACCAGCTCTGCTGCCAACCAGCAAGAGACAGAATGCACACCACCCAGGTCCCAGGAGGGTGGTGGAAAATGAGTTTACAAGTGAGCTCACCTGCAACTTACTAAAAAAGACTCATATGGGTGCTGTGCCACAAAGGAGCAGCGTTTGAGCTCAAGACAGGAGTGGAAATGAGTCCCTGGCCACTCCTACACATCTCCAATACTGAGGGAGGAAGTGAAGACTCGATCTGGTCTGTGCACCACTATGGGTCACTTGGGTAATATTCTGCCCTAAAATTCAAATTCATCATGTTACAATACTAGAGAAAGCAGGACACAGGATCTTTATTAACAGCTATTGAGCTATAAGATAAAACCAATCAAAACCATTAAAGAAAAGTTGCTTCAAACAGGTATACAGAGATATTACATATAATCAAAAATCTTATCTTCCAGTCCCAAAGCCAACATCTTGAGGAAGGATGGCCTTGGAAAGGAGCAACGAAGCACGTAAGTTACAATATGAGAGTCTCATCCACCCAGGAAAGCATTAACTACAGCCACATGGGCACTAAACTTTGATAACCGTTTTCAAAGAAATCATAAAAGTTTTCAAATGAACACGTGCCCCTCTTCTGTAGGCTTTCCAGCTCATTACCCAAGACACTTGAGTACTTCTATTAAGGCAGCTGGAAGCCCACCCTGGGCTTGAATGGTGACTTTTGTCCAGTATGTGACCTGTGCTTGCTTTGTGAGTTAACATGCTATGGAGAAAAATTTCTACAGTGCTGCTTGCTCCTAAAAGGGAAATACAGCAATCAAAGCAAAAAGCCACAGAGGGCTCCCTGAGAATCCAGTAGAACTAAGAGGAGGACTTTTCCAAGTGAACTTTGCAACTGGATCCAGGTGGAACAGTGCCCTGCAGCGAGTAGTGTATAAGCCAATGAGAACCAGCCTCCAGGAACCATTACAGTGGCTTCCTGAGCCATCTTCAAACATGGTCTTGATTCTCTCTACAATCCCCCTGTACAGAGGGATGGGTTTCCAAGTCTCAGACACTCCATGGGGGTGCTCTCCTCCACGGTCCAGCCATCTCTGGTGACTACACCCATAATACTTCATCTTCTCACTCCCTTGGAGAGGAAATGGCTAGGAGAGAATCAAGGGTCTGACAGGAAGACAAGCAGGAAGACAGCTGCTCGGAGCCAACTGCTCTAGCCTCAGTCTCCAGCTGTTAGTATCTTAGTATCACTAGAAAACTGGAAAGCAACACAACTGGTAGAGCAGGAAGAGAGCCCCAAGAAAAGAGTGTGCTCAGTGATGGTTGACAGATGAACAGAATTTCATGGAGATTCACTGTTACAAGGAGAAACTGCTCACTCTCAGGTTCCAGAACATGGAGATTGCCTGGTTTAAAATCTATGTTTTCTTTTTCAGTTCCTCAAATCTCCGGGAAAGATCATCAAAGTCTATGTCTTCAGATGCTGAGGTACTGGCTCCAGCAGATGCAGTTGGTAGTGTGTCTGGTACAGACGGCAACTCTGGCAATACAAAGTTATCCACGGGTCTGGAAGGGGGCTTTGCAGGGGCTTCCAGCTTGGGTCCAGGACCTAATTAAAACAGGACAAGGAGCACAATGTTATAACACCACAGAAATGACTCAGATTCCTTTGACAAAACAACCCCCCACCCCGAATCTCTTTTGGCAGAGGACCAAAAAAAATAGATCTAAATGCAGAAGAGGCTGGGGATGTAGCTTAGTAGTGTTTGCTTAGTGCACACACAAAACCCAGAATTTGGTCCTTGCCCTGCATACAACTGGGAATGGTGGTGCACACCTGTAAGCCCCAGCCCTAGGGCAGTAGAAGGGACAGAAAGTTCAAGGCCATGCTAATACTGGTGTTATTCGATGTAATAATCTATTATCCATTTTGCTTCCCCCGCCCTTCCTTTCAGTGCTAGGGTTCAAACCCAGGGCTTTGCACATGCTAGGATTGTGCTCAGTTCACCATTGAGCTTCCACACCCAGCCTCCCTGGTGCTGTGATTACAGAGATGTGCCAGCACACCCAGTTTCTCCAATTTTAAAAGTATGTTTTCTGGGTGCTTATTAGTATTTCATTTTTAACTTATTCAATAATTACATGAACATGCTGGCTGGTGAAAATTCACCCAAATGATGTGCCTATTTTGTCCTCTTTTATACTCCACTTGAAAAAGACACCTTTGTATTTCTAGGCACAATAGAAATTGAAGCAGTAATGGCATAATAAAGAACTTAAGGGGGCTGGAGAGATTGCTCAGCGGTTAGAGCACTGGCTGCTCTTGCAGAGGACCCAGGGTTGGTTCCCAGCACCCACGTGGAGCTAACTAACTAGTTCCTGAGGATCAGATGCCTTCTTTGACTGGCCTTCCCACATACCAGGCATACAGCTGGTACATATACATGCAGACAAAATGCTCACAAGCAGCAAAACAAAAACGGTATTTTGGTCTGGGGAAAAGAATTTGGGCTTTTTTTGGTCTTTCTGAGACAGGGTCTCCTTGTAACCCCAGCTAGCCTGGAACTCACAGAGATCCACCAGCCTCTGCTGGGATTAAAGGCGTGCGCTACCTTGCCCAGCCAAGATTTTATGTTTCAAAGCAGGAAGTCTTGAGTTCTGTGTTAAACACAGCATTTAGTTTAAGAGGACAAGGCCCACGGGTAGAACACCATGGAGACAGTCTGAGAAATGAGAGTGTTCCGTGATGCTTTCCAAAACACACTCACCAACAATCTGTGCAGAAGAAACATTTTTATCAGCATTAATGTCATCTACCTGCAAAACAAAGATTATAACCAGAAGAAAAAGCAATGAAGGGCATCTCTAGACAAACTACTAATTCTGGTGCCACCTCCTATGTTTTCCAAGAGCCAAGCTGCTCACCAAAAGCAACGGAATTTCCCTCAAAGACAGTGTCTCTTACTCCCTACACACTTTGTGAACTATGCAGATACCAAGCCCAACTCTAAACTGCCAAGCAGAGAAAAATTCTTACAACACCATGACGCTTTTTTTTCAGCTTCCAAGCAAAGTACACTAGCGTCTACAAGAACCAAGTCCTCAAGTACTGACGAAGATCCACCTCCTTCCAGAAACCATATGGACCATGTTTTAACACATGCAAGATTAAAGCATGAGAAAGACTCAGTCCCAAGAGAAATGCATCAACTAGAGATGAAAACCAACAGAACAATAAACTCCAGGATCAGGGAGAGTTTCCTAGATGAATACTTCACAAGGTAAATGCCATGGCACCTTGTTTTCTCAGTAAAGCATTAAGACAGAAACTGCTCTCAAAGGCATATTTATAGAAAAACTGATGAAGCAAGGCTGGCAGAAGACAATTCTGAAGCAAAGCAGTTCTTCAACCACCTACAGTTCAAGGTCTTTACCACATGAGTCATTTAAGCAAGTTCCCCACAACCCCCAGGTATTAGGGATTGAACCCAGGGCTTCCTGCATGCTAGGCAAGCCTCTTCCACTCAACTACTTTCCTAGCTTTTGTTAAACTTTTTGAGACAGGGTCTTGGATTTATGTTCCGCCTCCCAAATTGCTGGGATTACTGGCCTGTCCCACAGGCTTGGCTCTATGTTAGGTTTTAGTCTACAAGACTAAAATGTGAAAGGAATACTACAGGCTAAAACTGGATTTTTCTGATTAAGACAAATCTCATCACTATTCCTTCCCATGAATGTAGAGAACTTAGAAAACTGATACACTTTATAATTATATTCTAATATCAAACTATAGCAGCTCAATGTGATTATTAGATTAGCTAGTAAAACAAATACATCCAGGTAAAGTGCCTAGTAGAGCACTAACTTTTTTTGCTTTTTGAGACAAGGTTTCATATGGTCCAGGCTGGCCTTGAACTCCTGATCCTCCAAAGTGCTGGACAATAGGCATGCGTCTGTGCCCATATATGCACTTTAACTTTTGAAGCAAGCGTCAGCTCATTCCCACTGCCACCACTAGCGCTCATTCCCCTTCTCCAGGGCAGTATTAAAGCAACACAAGAATCCCAAAGCAAGAGCAATGCCCATACTAAGAGATGATCAAAGTTTTGCCTTCCCTGTTATTATTTTGCTCTCTCTTCACGGGATTCACTCTCCTGTCCTTTATAAAAGAGGCTCAAGCACTTACAGATTCATACGATGGGGGGGTTGCTGGTATCTGAGGTGGGTGAATATTAGGAAAGGCCTGGTAAGTCCCCACTGGCAATCCATTGAAATCCGACTACAAGAGAAAAAGCATTATCAGAAGCAGACTCCCAATTTGTACCTTCTGAAGTTTGTGTACAGGAAGAGCAGGAATGTGTGCAGAACAAAAAAATTCTGTGTGTGTTGTATCTGTGTCACACATATTATGTCTATATTCAAGATTCTCAAAAGAAAGGCTCAAAAGGACCACATGAGCACAAAAGGATTCCTGTAATAGTTATTCCTCAAATTCTGTTATCAAGTGCTTCAATGTCTGTCTGCAAGACAAAACTCTAATCAGATTCTGCCAGCAACCCTGTATGTTGTCAACAAAGGTTTTTCTGCCTGGTAATAAATGGTTCTTCATTTTCAAGAGTCCTAACATTACTGCAACAGGTCTACAGACACCTCCTAAAGGGGGCATTCCTTGCAGCTGAAACTAAGAACCTCCCTGAAACTGGGATATTTTTGTACGCTACAACTGATCACTAAGCTAATACAAATCATTTTACTGCTCTATACATCCTATATACCTGCAATTCCTCAGTGTATTGATAGTCAATTTTTCATCTTCTGTAACATGTTCTAGCTTGTGTCCATACTTGATACACACATACTTACTGGTCCCTTTGGCAGTGGATATGAGAAAGGAGCATTTGGAGGTGGCATGGGCATGGGCATGGGCACTGTTCCATCAGGTCCACCAATAGGCGCTGTGAACCCACCCCCTCCTCCTCTTCCAGGGCCACCTTTTTTCACATCATCTGTGAATCCAACGTCAATAAGATCTGTCTCTACCCCAACAGGAGCTTCTGCCTGAGAAAGAGACACAAGCCATCATCATTAAGCTGTGTCCAAGGCCAGGTTCCCTAGGATATATAAGCAAGCACAAAGGATGTTTACTGTGGAATGCTCATGACAACACCTGTAGGGAAAGTGAAGGAGTCTGGGAAGAAGGAGCTAAGCTGCAATGCTGCACCAAGGCCTCGGCCAACTTCCCAGGAAGCAAAAGGACCTACAAAGGAGTTTGAGAACAGAGGAAAGGGGCAGAGCCTAAAGAGTTTTAAAACCCCTGCACTGGCCAGATTTGGAACAGAATATTCCAGGAAAGAACGCTCCCCAGCAGAAGGCCATCTCTGAAAAGACTCAGCTGTGTGGGAGCAACCAGTCATTCATACTCCTGAGTCAGTGGAATAACGCTTCTGTCCTTAACTTGCTGAAGTTTTTCATCAGCATACTAAAGTTTCTACCACATCTTTTACTGTAGAGTGATTATTATGTTTTCACATGTATCTCTCTGCTCTCAGCTTTTTTGCCCACAGCCTAGCACTAATAAATGATCTATTTAGATCTGGGGGTATTGCTATGCACAAGGAAATTTTCAATTCAAGTTCACTGAAAGGCAGAGGTAATGTCATTTTACATTTCTGTCGAGGTTTGTGCCTTCTCAAAGTGCTTTCATTCACTTAATCTGTTGCTTAAGTTCCTAGGGAGATTTGCAGGCACATTTATTGTTACACAAAAAGGTACTAGTTGAACAAAGGCTAAAACTCACCATCTAAAGTTTGTACAAAGAACATACTTTTTTTTCAGTGTGTATGAGTGTATTGCCTGCATGTGTCTAAGTGCACCTGTGTCATGCTATGCCTGAGGAGGTCAAAAGAAGGTGTCGCATCCCCTGGAACTGGAGTTACAGATGGTTGTTAGCCACCATATGGGTGTACTGGGAATTGAACCCGGGTCCTCTGCAAGAGCAGTCAGTGCTCTTAACTGCTGAGCCATCTCTCCAGTCCCAGAATATACTTATTTTTTGCAAAGAAGTCCTACATAGAGACTTGTTTTTCTTTGTGCCCTGGCATAAACTTACCATGACGACAGAGTCAGGTTCATAGGGCACGTTGTAATTCTTGGCAATTTCAATCAGGTATCTTTCCACCAGGATTTTGGGTGGGGCTTCTACACTCAATTTGTGCATTAGCTGTAATAAAAGACCCAAGTTAAGAAGAATCTGTGAAATCTACCTGACGACTTTATATGCATGCTCAGACGCCAAGGAGCTCAGAAAGTAACTGACTGTGACTAGTAATAATCAGATATATAGAGATTAGAAACACATGTGCAAACATCTTAATGTCAATTGCATTAAAAATGAATTTTCTGTATGAAACTGTATTTTAATAATAAAATGGAGATCTTTAAAGGTTAAAACCTCATTTAATTTTATGTCTTATAGGGTTTATATTGAGTTCAATATTGTATAACTATTAATTCAACTGTGAACCTAAAAATTTACAGCCACTTTTGAAAGAGGTGCAGCCTAGCGCTCTGGAAATTGTTATTAAATATGTCAATGCTGTTGTAATGAAATGCTTCTTCTAAGTATGTGGTTATTAAATAATTAATTCAAATTAAAAAAAAAAGAATCTGTACAACCAGCCTAATTCTGCCTCACTTAAAAATTTTGTTCCTCAGCTGGTCATGGTGGCCCACGCCTTTAGTCCCAGCACTCTGGAGGCAAAGACAGGAGGATCTCTGTTCAAGGCCAGCAGGGTCTACAGAACAGCTGGGGCTACAGGGAGACCCTGTCTCAAAAAAGACCCCAAAAAAGAAATTTTTTTTTGTTGTTCCTCTTATTTTACCAGTCAAATGGAAGGAAATGGAAATAAAGAGCAGCTAATTTTTTCCCCCAGAGTCAGAAGGTGCAATACAGGACCCATGCTTTTCACTCACATTCTCCGGTTATGTACGACTTAACACATAACCTTATGTAATGCCTTCCCACTTCATCCATCCAACCCTTCTCTCTACTTCCTACCTTTGTAATGAGAGGCAGAGAATGGAAAAAGGAAGACCAGAAAGCACCACAATTGGGTGTTGGGCAGGGGGAAGGACCAGACTGCACTGCCACCCACACAGGCTTCCTGCAACTCTCAACTAACTCACCCATGCGCCTGCACCACTCAGACCCCAACAAAACCACCACTGGGTCACATCCACCAAGAAGATTCGTTACCCTGTCATTCACAGTTCCAATCTGGTTGGTCCTGCACAGCTTGCCATATTCCTTGCTATATTTGGCACAGAGCTGATCAGCAACCTTCAGAGGAAAAGAAAAAATCATTTCCATGAACAGCTTCAAGCTCCCTATCAACATTAAACATGCTTTTATTACGGATTTAAAAAATGTCTATACAACCTTAAGTATACCTTATTGTTTATCCATCTACCCAGTAAGCAGCAGCCAAATACCAAAAAATACCCTGAATACTGTAAATAGAACAGTGAGCTGAGCACAGTGGCATACACTTATAATACCACCACTAGAGAAGTGGAAGCAAGAGGATCAGGAATTTAAGGCTAGCCTAGGCTATATGAGTCCATGTTTCAACTCCACCCTGACCCCAAAATAAATATAACCACGGAACAAAAAGACACTGCTCCTGCTTTTATGGATTCTTACAGTCTCTAGGCAAATAAATCACTAATTAGATAAAGGTACAACTGCAGCTATAATAAATGCTACTACCAAAGTCAGGTAAGGTTGCCCTGAAGAAAGCAATGATTTGACAATACATAAAAGATTATAATTAAACAAATAGCTGGGTGTAGTACTGCATGTTTGTAATCCCTACTTGGGAGGCAGAGGCAAGGGATCTGCCACAGGTGTGAGGCTAGCCAGGACTACAAAGTGAGAAACAAAACAAGTTAAAGGAGAAAAGAAGGAAAAGCATTCTAGGAAAATGTGTAAAGGCTTCCTGTGGATAAAATATGGCCAACACGTAAGCCATTAGGGCAGAGCCCAAGGAATATGGAAAGAATAGGCAGGTGAGGGCCAGGAGTGGTGGTACATGCCTTTAATCCCAGCACTCAGGAGGCAGAAGTAGATGGGTCTCTATGAGATTGAGGCCAGCTGGAGCTATAGGGAGACCCTGTCTCAAAACCAACACCACCAAGAAACCCCACAAACGAATAGACAGGTGGGAGCCAGACAGAGCAGGGTGATACAGGTCATCATGGAGTTTTGTTTCTAAAGAACAAAAGAAAGCTAGTACAGGGTTTAAAAGCAAGGGTTACCTTAGGATTCGTACCTTAGATGTTTTAACTTTTCTGGTTTCCAGTTGTATAAAAACTGTCTGACTGTGTGTGTAGCACAGGCCTATAATCTCAGTGTTTGGGAGGGTAAAGGCAGGATAATTAAGAGTTCAAGATCATCAACTACATAGCAAATTCAAGACCAGCCTGTGTTTCATGAGCATGAGATCCTGTCTCAAAAAAACCAAAAACACTTCTGGAGGCAGGGACAGAGCTCAATAATAGAAAACAAAATTTTCTACTTATATCAATAAGGTTAATGACACAGCAAATAAATACATGTTTGTATAGTAGTACATTTTCTCACTTTTTGGGGGGTTGGCTTTTTATTTTTTATTTTTTTGAGACGGGGTCTTGCTATATAGCCCAGATTGGCCTTCAATTCATGATCCTCTTGCATCAGCCTCCAAAGTACTGGGATTATATGTATAGACCAGCATACCCAGCTCCAAAGTAATTCAAGACAAAACTACTGGTACATAAAATTTAGCCCTTTAAAAAGTTGTTCAAATTTGCCAAACAATGTTCTACTCTATGAAAAAAGGTCTGAAAAGGAGTAACAGACCTATAAAGCCTGTTTCAACACCAGAAGGGGATAAGCTAGCTAGTCAAAGAAGCAAAAATGACTTAAATTTACCAAAGTTTTCTAGTAACATGAAAAACTACAGAAACAACAGAAACTGTTATACTCACTATTTTCAACTCAGCCACTTCTGACTGGAGTCGAGGGGCAGCCCAAATCAGTGTAGACACAGATTCAGCTAGTCCAGAATCTAGCTCCCTAATTAAGGGGGAAAAAGTGCAATTTAACATTCTTTTCAACAAACCAACAAAATCATAGCTTTTAGGTCACACACCTGCTAACCTCTACAGTTATCTCACACACTGCACTGGCTTCTGGTATTAACTGTAGACTTGTAGCTGTGTCATTTCTCTGCTTTCCTTTTGAAGAAACTAAAACTAAGTAATGTGCCCACATCCACAAAAATCAAGGACTAGATGTACCAAGGACCTAAGACTTCAATAGTTGGCAAAGGATTCTACATATGTGAATAGTCCGAATAGTCTATTAGTGCTAACCTCCTAGAGATATGTATAGAATGAGACAATGTGACTCATTCTCAAATTCCAGGTGGGATCTAGGACTGTATCAAGGTGTCTTACTTCATAGACTGGATGAGGCCGAAGCGAGCCAACAGCAGGTCACAGTACAGCTCTAGGATCTCCATGGCCTCCACAAGGTAGTCTTCCCGGATAATGTGCTCCACTCGGATACGCGCTCGCTCATCTTTCCCCGCAGCCAGATAGTCAGCAATCTCCTTCCTTGCCTTCTGAGCAAGTTCCGCTAAGGCACAAACCCATTCCAGTCACACAGCAGCAGTGCACTGGGACTGGGCCCATGGGCACATTTCTAGCCCAACAGAGACAACTGGGTGCTATACAATACCTAGTGCTTACTCCCTGAGGAAATCGACTCTCAGGTTCTGGCATTTGCTACCCAGTACAGGTGCGAATACAGTATATATGGCCTGACATTTCCAACTCAGGAGCCATCTTAACTATTCCATAGCAGTACAATAATCACTATGTATCCAAAAGGATCAATACTGGAACACCTTACGGATACCAAAATCAGAGTTTCCAATATAAAATGGCACAGAATTTGCAGATAACCTATGCATATTCTCCTGTATATGTTAAACCTCCAGATTACTTGTAAATGTTATGTAAACAGTTATCATAATGTATTACTTTGGAATGATAAGAAAGTATATATTCAATACAGATCCAACTTTTTTCTCTGAATATTTCTGATCAGCATTTGACTGAATCCATGAATATGGAACCCATGGATACAGAACCTACAAATTGGGAAGGTCAACATTGTATCTCTTTTCTTGAAGCAATGATTCAGTATAAACAGTCAGAAAATGCAAAACTACATCCTTAACTTCACAAGAGAGCCTCAAACTTTGTAGCACGGACTCAAAGATCCAGCACTGGGTACAGGCACCTGAGGAAGAGCTTGAGTTTAAAAAAAAAAAAAAAAGATGGTAAACTACTCACTTTTCTTTTTCTCCAACAATTTCAGACGATTTATGACTAATCTCAAATTGACTCGTAAGCGCTCAGCTTTGAAGCCCGAGCCCAGCATGCTGCACTGTTCCTCCTGGAAAAAGAAGCAGCACCATGATCACTAGGCAAACCTAGCTCAGGAAGCTTAGAGTAGATTATCTGGCATAAACCACAGCAGTCTCTCTTATTCTTTTTCATGTTGCAGATTAAACCCAGGGCCTTGCACATGCTAAGCACATATCTACTTCTGAGCTACATCCTCAACCCCCACACTGGTTTTCTAGTATAATGATATGATCTAACATCTTTTTCACACATCATTTTTGCTACTGTTCAGAGGATTGGAGAATAATGAGAGCAGGGGGACCAATGAGATGACTCATCGTCCTGACAAGAGATGGGCAAAGTTTGCACCAAGGCAACAGTGGTAGTGATAGAAACAACTGGATTTGAAAGCAGAAAGACTTGATGATGGATACGATTAGTATGTAGGTACTGGCCAGAGTGGAATGATAAAAACACAGGAGGCAGGAAACCCTCCTGTTTCACCCCCAAAATCTGTCAAAAAATAGTAATCTAGAAAGATTACCAGGGCAGGCAGAAGCAGATGAATCTCTGTAAGACTGAGGCCAGTCTGGTCTACATAGTGAGTTCCAGGTCAGCTGGAACTACAGAAAGACCCTGTCTCAAAAATAAAAAATAAAACCGCATCTTCTATCTGAAGATCGCACAGTACAATTTCTATTTCTCTTCATTTTAATTCTAGGTTCAAACATCAAAACATAATTTTCAAACAGAAACTAGGTTTAACAAAGTAACCAAAGAGGCAAATCTAGAGATCAAATATAAAAACAAACACTACAACTAGTATCTGTGTAAAAAATGCCTGCAGAAGACATGAGATGTTAGTTTCCTTTTGTGAAATTGCCTCCAGAAAGTTTTATACCACATTTAATAAAGTCCCAGTTTAACATGGGGCTTGTCACAGCGTTATCTCTGATCCATTATGCTACATTATGCTCAGTCCACTCAAGTATTTATTGATTATATGTCAGACTCTGGCTAGATGCTGGAAATAAAGAGTGTAAGATACAACCCCTGCACCCACAATGAAATGATATTCTACATGATTTATATTGACCATATAATATACTAAAGGAAAAAAACTTAAGAACTCCAGCAACTCTAACAGTGCTTGATAAGTACTATAGTTCTAGAGTCTCTCAATTGGGAGTGATTTATTTAGTAGTGACTGAAGGCATTCTCCATTGTTATAACTGGAGGGGATGCTACAGGCAACTGGCAGACAGGTCTAGGTTGTCACTAAACATCTGATAATGAACAGGACAGTGTCCCTATAACATCACGTCAACAAAATGTCAACAAAACCAAGACCAAGAAACCTACAGAAATGACCTAACATATATTCAAGGGAAGTTATGGAAGGTTTTCCAGGAAAGCAAAGCCCAAGCTGAGTCCTAAAGGACAAAGCAGGTATTTGGGGATGTGGAGGTGTCTGAAATGGAAGTGCAAGCTGAGGCCACATATCAAGACCCTGTCTCAAACAAAAGAAGTACCCTCACATAGAGGGTTATATGTGTAAAATCCCAGGTTCCAGAGAACAAGGAGCTGAGAATGACAGACTGTAGTCTAGCAGGTACAGGGCTGGCTAGATCCATACAGCATCCCCTTCTCAGGCAGTCTCAAGCAGAGACAGTAAGAAAAGGTAAGAAAGAACAGTGACAGCTGCTATCATTTATTCTACCATCCACACATCCCAATCAGCCAGCAACTGGTGGAACAGCCAAGTATCAAACCTAAATGCAACCAGGGGAAGGTACCTGTAGCCCTAAAACTCTATGGACAGACATGGGAGGATCCTTGAGTCTGAAGAGTACTAATTGAGCCTGGGAAATATGGTGAGACCCCATCTCAACATAACTAAAATTCTAAATGCACCTGAAATAAAAAACAAAGTTAAAAAATATCTAAATTATGTAGTACTATATCCTTTTGGCTCTATAAATTGTAACATAGTGAATGATGTACTTAAATCACATGTGAAGCCAAAACAAAATGGCAGGGGGAAGGGACTGCAGAGCGCTTAGCTGGTAAAGTACATGCTGTTCAAGCCTATGGACCTGAGTTCAATCCCCAGCACCTACATAAAAAGTGCATGGTGACACATATTTGTAATTCCAGAGCTGGGGAGAGAGAGAGACAGGCAGATCCTCTGGGATCACTAACAAAGCCAGCCTACCCTACTTGGTGAGCTCCAGGTTCCCAGTGAGACCTTGTCTCAATAAACAAGGTTGACAGCTCCTGAGAAACACCACTAGAGGCTGACCTCTAGCCTCCACAAGCATGCACACTCTCTTCAAGCATTTACTTAATGCTACTACAAGTCCTGCAGATATACTAGTTAGGAAAAATAAGCAGAGCTACTGCCCTCATAAATTATACTCAGGGAAATATATCTATCACATCACTAACTGAAATAAATGGAATCAGTAATTTAAAGAAATAAAGTGTTCTAAAGTTTATATTTGGAATCTGACCTTGTCAGTAACCTGTCTGCAAACTGTAAGGGCAAAAGACGTAAAAGGTTATGGCAGAAAAAGGTCACGATTTCTGTGGTTCTTAAGTCATCTATGTTATCATCTGTAAGCATCAATTCTGTGATGTGTCAAAATTTTAGTTGTGTTCGTATTTTAAAGGTTTAAGAACATATACATTCTGACAGTAATTCCAGTCCTTAAAAACCTAACCTAAAGAAATAATCAGAGCTCCCTGCACAGATTTTTACATAAAAACATTTGCTGCTGGGCACGGTGATGCACATCTTTAATTAATCCCAGTGCTTGGGAAGCAGAGGCAGGTGAATCTGTGAGTTCAAGTCCAGCCTAGTCTAAAAGCAAGTTCAAGGCCAGGTGTGGCTACAGGGAGACCCTATCTCAAAAAAACCAACCAAACAAAAAAATTGTAATAATAAAATACACAAAGAATACTGCTTATCAGTCAAATCAACTGTATGTTTATGGTACCTTAAATTAATATTCATTAAAATATTTATGTATTTAATTATATTTTTATTTTATATGTATGAATATTTTGCCTGCATGTACATAAGAGCATCACCTACATGCAATGTCCACAGAGGCCAGAAGAGGATGTCAGATCCCTAGAACTGGAGTTACAGACAGTTGTTAGCCACCATGTGGGTGCTGGGAACTCAATCTGGGTCATCTGCAAGAACAGTCAGTGCTCTTAACCACTAAGCCATTCTGCAGCCCTAAAATATGTATGTTAAAGCATTCACTGTTGGGCATGATGGATGTGATGGTTGAGTAAGTGTTCCCCATAGGCTCCAAGCATTTGAACATTCTGTCCCCAGGTGGAGTCGCTGTTTTGGGAGGTCTTAGAAGGTGTAGGAAACATGTCACTGGGGGTAGGCTTTTAAAGAGTCTATAACCATGCACGCTTCCAGCCTGTCGCTCTCTGCTTCCTGTGCCTGCCTGAAGATGTGAGTGCTCAGCATTCTGCACCAGTCACCTTCTGCCACCACGCCTCTCTGCCATGACTGACTTTCATCCCCTATAAGCTGCCTTAATTGTGGGTGGTGTTTTATCATAGCAACAGAAAAGTAACTAATACAGAAGTTGGTCCAACTAATACAGAGGTACATGCCTATAATCTCAGCACTTGGGAAGCAGGACAGAAGACTCACATTTGAGGCTAGCAGCAAAACTCTGTCTCTAAAAACAAAATAAACAAAACAAAGGAAGAAAAAACTAAAGGGGCTGGAGAGATGGCTCAATGGTTAAGAGCACTTGCTGCTCTTGCAGAGGAACAGAGTTCAGTATCCAGCACCCACATCAGAGGCTCACAACTGACTTGAAACTCCAGCATCAGATGATCTAAATGCTCTTGTCTGGCTTCTGCAGGTACTGCACTCACATGCACATATACAAATACGCATAAAAATAAATCTTTTAAAAAAGAAGCTGGAGAGGTGGCTCAGCGGTTAAGAACACTGGTTGTTTTTGCAGAAGACCCAGGTTCAAATCCCAGCACCCACATGGCAGCTAACAACTGTATGTAACTTCAATCCCAGGGGATCTGACAGCCTCTTCTAACCTCTGCAGGTATTGCATGACACGGGTGCACTTACCTACATGTAGGCAATACACACATACACATAAAATAAAAATAATAAAAAATTTAAAATAAATAAAAATAGCCAGGCATGGTGGTGCACGCT